ATTACATGACAATCTTTGTGTCTATGTAGTTTTGTACCTGTTTGTCCCTTAAGAAAAGACTTCGACTATAACTTGAGAATCAGTAATTATAAAAATCAAGAAAATATATTTGTAGCTAATCGTAGTTCAATTAATTGCACTGAAACCCAAAAATTTGAGGGACCATTATTAACTTTCTTAAATGCACACTTTTGTAACTTACTCTTCAATATCCTTTATAACAAAAAAATAAATTATGATACAAAAGTTACAGCACACCATTTTTTTTAGAAAATCAAGATTGTTTGGAATATCTGAAACATCGTCATGTAATAACCACTAAAAAAATCATGTATCCGCATATACACCGGTGGTCTAAGGAGCTAATAGCAAATACTTACCATTGGTAAAATGAATTTTGCCCCCAATGGGAATTATAAATAACTAGTTATTCTGTGCAACTAACCTACGCTACTTTGAATGTGGTAGACAATAATTCAGTATTAAAACTAAAATAATTTCGGACTTCCATTGTTTATTTTGCTTACACAACGTTTCGGTCAAAAGTATTACTGAGTTCACACTTGATAACGGTCAGTGATACTTCTGACCGAAACGTTGTGTAAGCGAAATGCATGTCAAATACTCGTCAGCGAGTAATGGCAGTAAGTAAGAGAATCAAAATTCAAAAAGAATCAATTTTTTCCGCTAAATATTAAATATCGAGAACTATGCATTTTGTAAATATTCCTCTGATTTTAAAAGTACAGAATTTTTATCCTACAAAATTTTAACCCTGCTTTTAGAAAAGTTTATTTCGAAAAAAGGACACGTGATATCTACGCCACGTTGATCCACGTTTGTTCCTCATAAGCCTCGCGCTCTATTTGCGTCCGATTACGCTAATTCTCGTAATATCCTTCATTTTTCTTTCTTTTCAATCCGTACAAGTCTTTCGAATATTTTCGGACGGTCGTCGGTCGTCTGGAGCGCAAATTGTCGAGCAATCAGAACCCCCATTGATGAAAACAGACCTCCGTTTGTATGGTGGGACACGTGGAGACCACTGGGGTGCGTTTAAATAGGACAGACTACATTCTGAAAAAGAATGTGAAGGTCTTAATAAGGGGGGTCAAAAAACATAATGTGCACCTTTTTATTTAAAAGTACAGAATCAACAATTAAAAAATTGTATGTGCATATTTAAAGTGAGACTTCTTACTAACAGTTATTATGTTGATTTGAAGGACATGTTTGAAAAAGTAACAAATTAAAAATTAATAAATAATTTGATTCAATTTCAACACTCTTTGCAGATGACACTTCAATACTATGGCAGGCCAAGGACATTGAGCATCTTAAGGGAATCATAAGCAAGGACTTATCCTTCATTAAAGAGTGGTTTAACTCAAATCACCTTTGTTTAAATTTATCCAAGACGCATGTTGTTGGGCTTAGGTGTGACATCGCAAATCTACATTTCGAGGGGGGTTTGCTTGCAGGAATTCCTGCGACTAGATTCCTAGGAATTATTATTGATAGAAATCTGCGATTTAAAGACCATATTCTGGCCTTAAGTGGCAAGTTGTCTTCTGGATGCTTTGCTGTTAGGGCAATTAGGGAAGAACTGGGTTCACAAGTGGCAAGGACGGTCTATTTTAGTTTGTTTGAGTCTCATCTACGGTATGGAATACCATTCTGGGGTGTGGCTAATCAGGGTCTACTAAACATTCTTTTTATTTTACAAAAAAAGGCCGTACGATTAGTAGTACAGACTACAGGGTCCTATACCCAATATTGTTACCCGCCAAACCCTGAATCTGCCCTTGCCACTTCCAAAGAGCACATTGGTCAAAAGATCTATAATATATGAGGGCCGAAAGATCTTTAATCATCTGCCGGTTGCTTTAAGATTGGTTAACTAAGGTTCCCGCAATCCTGCATTGCGGCAGCATGTCGCCGCACATCCCGCAAAAACGGATGGTGTTACATCTGCCATGCCATATCATGCAATATTCATACCGCAAAAGGGGACCCGCATTGCGGGACCTGCAAAAACGGACCGTGTAACGCCGCACTTATGCAAATTCCTTCAGAAGATTTATATAACCATATCACCGGCTCGTCTTCAGAGAGTGCAGTTTGGAGTCGATATTCTTTAGTTAATAAATATATGAATTTTACATATAAAATTAGAGCGATCTCCATTTTTTTTCATTTCTGGTCTTGGGTGCCGGTTTTCATGTGTACGAAGAGTACGGTCAACACGCTTAGTAAAATAAGATATACTGAATAAAGACAGAAGGCGAGTATTTTCCCAAGCGCATGGAAACTAGCGTCAGATTAAGTAGTTATGTAATAAATACTCCGTATTTTTGCTCACTCCGACTTACTAGATTGCCATAACGACTCACTCCTGTACATATAAACGCCGACCCAAAGGTTCGCTTGCCAGCGGGGTATAAATATTCTGAAGGAATTTGCATAAGTCGCTCAGTCAGTGCCTTCTAATAAAAGATCAGCCTACGGGCGGACTTTTGTTTACTTCATCAGCTGTACATACTTAGATATTGGGTTAGATTCCGTTTCATATTTTGTCGGTTGATTTTTGGTTTTAACGTGGTTTTAACTCTTTGATTTTTGGTATTATTTATTATTGTAGTGCAAAAAACTAATTATTTTGGTGTTGAAGTGACATAAACTACTACCAGATATATGGTCACTCTCGGTTTCGCATAAAAAATAGAAATTTTAAAAATTACACGTTGTGCAAGTGATTTAACCTAAAAGTGCCCATACATTTTTTACTTATCGTGATTTTTGTGTGTATTTTTTATGACTCTAACAATTCATCAATAAAGCTTAAGTGGAGTGTGTTATTGGTGCTATGCCTCATCTTTGTTGTGTTCCTGGTGGAAAGGATAGTTACTAAGGATAGTTATTATACTAGGCAGCCTAAAGTGTCCGGAAGAGCAAGAAAAGTGGGTACGAGTTATAAATCAAGAGAATTTTATTGAAAATATCTTTAATAAATTTAAAATAATATTCTCCCATGATGGTATTAATGAAAACTGGACAATTATGTTTATTTTATTCATATTGTGGAATCTCCACTCCAAGTGTTGCTGGTTCAGCTTCGATAGATTCAAACACGTAGGTAGGTATTATGATCTAGGGAAAAATAAAGAATATGTGTATTAGAGATCATGAAAAAGATTATTATTTTGAGTTCAAATTTTAAAAAGATTTTTGTAAAGACAAGACTGATACAGTTTAAAAGAAGAATGTGTTTTGTTTGATAATATATAATGTATGTTAAGCATAACATATATTTGTTCAGTAATTTTTAATGAATAGTATTGATTATTTATAATACCAAATTAATATCAAATATTTAAGTGATGGCTGAATACAATATGAATAAAATAACAATAAAATTGGTATATTTGCATAATACAAAATTAAGTTTTAAGAATAAAGGTGTTACTAAAAATACTAAGAAATTCATATTTCTTTGTTTTAATTGGTCTAATGTTATTTACATTTTACGTAAGAATTATACCGTATCATCGAAAAAATCGGCGTCTAGTTGGCTTGGAAATAAACATCGATGACATTCCCTAAATAACTGTACACATAAAATAATTAACTAGAATTTTACAATCTTGGAAAATTTGATATTCTTGAACCTTGATTCTAAATATTCTAAATTTTTTTGATTTTCTTGGAATTTAGGTTCGGGAAAAACGCTGATTGATTTTTCATTTGGTTTTCATTATTTTTATTTGGTTTAAAAAACGGTTCGGCTAACATTATAGCCTCCATCAGTGTTGTGTCATATGAAAAAAATAGTGTCGAATATAATCCAAAAATTGCATATAAAATATTCACACCACGCACATAATGTTTACTGCGTACTCCATAGTCAATGTAGATAATTTTAGTGTTAAGAATAATAATTTTAAAAATATGTGGTCATCTTTTGATAAGTTTATATTAGTTTATTAATTGCAGTAAACATTATGAGGTGTGAATTATATTGTATATGTAATTTTTGGATTATATTCGACACTATTTTTCTCATATGACACAACACTGTGAAGGCTATAGTTAGCCGAAACGTTTTTTTTTAAACCAAATAAAAATAATGAAACCCCAAATGAAAACTTAATCAGCGTTTTTCCCGAACCTAAAATCCCAAGAAAATCAAAATTTTAGAATAATTTAACATATAAAATGCCAGCGATCTTCATTTCATAGCCATCGCTGACGCTTTTTAGATAATATTGTATTATTTGTAAATATAATTTTTCGAACATTGATACTTGCAAAATATACATATAAATTTTGTGAATGCAAATAATAATACATCACTATTAGTAGATATTAAATGTTTTTTGTTAAATTAGATCGATTTTCAAACCCAAAAATTTAAAATATATTTACATTTTACCCATTATCTTATGTACCTATACATTATTTGTACATTGTAAAACATTTGCTGCATTTGTATGGTTCATAGTTTATTTGTCAAAGTATTTATTACTATAAATAGGTATATATGTTGTAGTTATTAACTGTATATTATGTATATTTCATTTAAACTATATCATTTTTAAAATACAAACCAAAAATCTGAGGAATAATTATGTTTTCCATGTATTCTACAACATATTTATTAATCCGTTATATCTAACTAGCGTGACGTCATAAATCTCGCCCGTAGGCTGATCTTTTAATAGAAGGCACTGGCTCAGTTATGCCTGCTCAAGCGTAGTGCGCAAGCCTGGATTTTGAATTATCGATCGGATAACTAGACCAATAAGAGACTAGACGCTAGCACCAGCTGTTCATTCGTACGGCTTCGTCCAACTTCGTGCGGCTTTCGTTTGCGCTCCCGTTCGACAATTGGCTAATTCTCAGAGTAAGGCTAATCGATATTCAGAATTTTGGAGTTGCGCTATTGCGCCAGTGTCTGCCTACAGACGAACTTATGTGAAATATACATGGGCCAACTTGTCTCTAACTTGGCTTCAACTCCAACACTTTCCAAGTATAAACGATAATCTGTATATAGTCTGATATAGTTTATATGTATATGGTTTGAACTCGTAATGTGCAAGCGTGGATTTTGAAATATCGATCAGATAACTACACCAATAAGAGACTAGACACTAGCACCAGCTGTTCGTTCGTACGGCTATCGTTTGCGTGCGACGAATGGCTAATCGATTTTTGGAATTTTAGAGTTGCGCAGTACGCCAGTGCTTGCCTAACAGATGAATTTTTGTGAAATATACATGGGACCCGATGTACCTTGAGCTTCACTAGTGATTTTATAGTGTTTTTTTTTCTTTAAAACAGAAATGGGAAGAAAATTGTGCTTCTTGTGCGATAGGAAAAAGACTGCTGGATTAGCTTTTCACAAGTAGGTTTGTACAATATTGTAGAAAAATAAACGGCGTCAAAGACCGCTGGAAAATGACAATCGATCATAATTTTGGCGAAGTCAATCTCTAGACGTCATTTACTAAAAATTGACATAAAATTTGGCAAACATTAACACTTATAGAAAGGTTTATAAAGGACAGAACGTTTCCAGACTAAAAAAATGAAATCTATTTACAAAAAAAAATATTTTTTTCAGGAACTTACCATTTAAAAATCATTTTTACGCAATATAAAAATAATTACAACCTTCTTAAGGTCAACGGGCAGTAAGGGTCATTAAAAAATAAAGAAGAGTACGGTTCAAGCAAGTGATATCTAGAGCTTGGCCTCGGCAAAATTATCTTACCAAGCCGTCTGACGCTGTTTTTTTTGCATGGCTATACCGTAATTACCGTACGGTATTTTATTACTAGGTATAAGGTTACTATAAAAGAATTTTAGAAATATGTGATTTTATTTATATTTTATAAATTAAGAAATTATACCTATTAATGTCATTTTTGATTTAGGTTACTTTCCTTTCTTAAATACCTGTTTATAATATTAAATTGATTTGTTTGATACGGGGTGTTTCAAAAATTATGTGCCATCTCTCGTGGGGAGATTCTATTTATTTTTCATATCAACATAGGTCCGATTCCGATTCTGCTCTGTTTTGTAGCTACAGGGTGTTAAAGTCTTAATATTTTTTCGATTTATTACAATTTTCTCCCGAGTACTTTTCGAATTAAATTTTGAGCGTGAAAGTTACTATAAATGCAACATATTTTAGAGCTAAAAAAGTGTCGACATATTGACCAGGGACGTGCATATAGGTTATCACTGAAATATTTTTCTAAAAAAGTATGTGCGCCACTGACTTTTTTTTCTCTTGTTAGTGATATAGTGTAAGCAGTTTAATGTCGATTAAATGTTGTCTCGTGATATATTGTCGATTTCGGCCTTTTTTATGAGATAAACGCAATTTTATTAATTTGTGTTAATCCAAGTCTAAAAGCAACCTTAAAAATATTAATATCATTAACTTGCGAAAGTTTTAAATAACTACTGATTGATTCCTTATCAAAAAATATGAAAAAAAGTTCCTATAAACATGGGTATGGAAATGCATAGTTTTAGAGTTACAGGACGTTAATAATTTTTAAAATTAGTTTTTTTGTAATTATCTTAAATACCATTATTTTTCTATTTGAAATTACTGTAGGTTCGACTAATAGTAATCATAAATAATAGTAATAATACTTAATAATAAATTAACTAAAATATATAATTTATTAATTTAATTTTAATTTTATTAATTGTTATTAATAAAATTGCATTTATCTCATCAAGGAGGCCAAATTCGAGAAAATGTCAAGAGATAACTTTTAATTGGCATTAAACGGCCTACACAATTTCAATAACAAAAGAAAAAAGTCAGTGGAGCACATGTTTTTTTTTTGAAAAATATTCCAGTGATAACCCATATGAACGCCCCTGGTGAATTTATCGACACTTTTTTAGCATTAAAATATGTAGCACTTATAGTAACTTGTTAGGGTAAGTAGACTTTTTATTCTGATTGTGTACCTTTTGGGGAGTAGTTTTAGGGGGGAAACTTGTAACACTGTGTTCGGCCAGCTTTAGCCCCAAATGGCCAAGACATCAGTTTTTCGCAAACATCTGCCAAAGTATGCAATTTACAAAAATTTTCTTGGAATAAAATGGAATAATGAAGCTTAGGTAATTACCTATAAAAATGGTCCTTATTATTTTTTAGGTAGAATTATACTAGTTTTTGAGATATTCCGCCTCGAAGATCCCTGAATTTTCTCTCCAAATCTTAACGGCTCCGGAGTTTCATAAGCTAATTATTGATTGATAGGATAAATTGTTTAATAACTCGGTTAAAATTTAATATTTTTAATGATTCAAAGTTCATTTAAAAGGTAGAATCAACAGCTATCACTTGGAACTTGTTTGATTTTTCTCATATTTTGTGATAATAAAAAAACCGGGCAAACAAAAATATTCACATTTTTACAAACTTGTTCATATTGTCACTAATCATAGCTTATTTGTCAATATTTTTTTAACGGTTGTTCCTAGAGTCTCTTTAGCCAGCTCAGAAAATTTGGAGTATTTGTTTAATCACATTTTAATAAAAAAAAAACAATTATTCGTGAGTGGCTTCTCCGCTTTTTGGGGATTTCCGGAAAGTGTCGTAAACAAAAGAAAATTGCATAATAATTTTGTAAGTAACAAACATCAATATGGCGGAGTTGGAAAAAAATAAAAGTTCAAAACTACCTGCAATCATTTTTGCAACTCTTTTCCCGGATATAATGGACTACCTTCACCATTTGGTCTGAAATAGCATAAGAACAGCAAAATCGGAAAATCCCCTGGATCAGATCAAGTCCATATAGAAATCAAAAAACTTTTAGAAGAAGAGCACCACATAAAATTGTGTATGACAATGCTTGTGATATCTGGCACCCGCACAAAAAACCTTGACAAATAAGCTATTATAAGTGAAAATATGAAGTTGAATAAGTTGTTGATTCTACCCTATTCTACCTTTTAAATGAATTTTGAATCATCAAAAATGATACGCTGATGAAATCTATCTCCGAGAAAATTCAGGGATCTTCGAGGCCCCGGAATATCTCAAAAACTACTAATTCTACGACAAAAATGATAGGGACCATTTTTATAGGTAATTACATCACCTAAACATCATTTTACTTTTCATTCAAATTAATTTTTCGGCCATTTGGGTGTTATGGCCGAGCACGGTGTTACAATTTTTTTCCCTAAAACTACTCCCCAAAAGGTACACAATCCGCCTGAAAAATCCCGGTGATAGGTCCCGGTGGACGAATTGGGCCTATAATTTTTCGTGTATCTAAATGTGCATATGCGTAAAATTTTATTTTTTTGATTATTTTAAAATGTGGGGTATTAAAATATTTCTTTGATATAGGTATACCTTCTTTTTAAGCTAGTTTTAAATGATTTTTTTTTATTTAGTAAATATACACAGCAGTTCATTAGCTGCCCATACACGGAAAGACACCCAGGATACAACAATAAAAAAGGGCTTCTCACAAAACTATGGTATTTTGGAGAAAGACCAGGCCTCGAGGCGTATGGACAGCTATTGATTGTTGTATATTTGGCAGATTATTTTATTATGTAATAATTTGTTAAAATACCTAAATTGTTGTTACCTTATTATTGACCTATTAGGTAGATATAAATATAAAATTTTAGGCTTCCAAAGGATCCACGTACACGTATTGCTTGGTTGCAATTCTGTAAAATAGATTTTAATGTTAAAATGGAGAGTAAGGATTTATCAAATTTCCAAATATGCTCTGGACATTTTAAACCAAGTGATTACATTGAGCCTAGGGCATTCGAGCTTGGAAATAGATTGGCTTTGAAGCGTGGTAGTGTACCCTCGATTTTCGCAGTTCACGATCGTTCATCAAAATCAAAAAATAGCTCAGGTTAGAATAAATTTGACTTCCATAATTACTGTTTTTTTTTTATTTGAAACTAATTTAAATCTAATTAGTTTAAAAGTTTCAGTGTAAACTAATAAAGATTTGAAGAATGTTTTCAATTTTAGTAGTTCAATATTTGCTTCAGACTACATTTCTAATATTGTCATAACAATGTAACGAAATTCTTGTAATGAAACTATAACAGAATTATTAATTTTTAAATAGCTCTAATTAAAAAATCGGAAGGTGTAGGTATAGGAACATAATGTATCGTTGAAAATCAATTTTATTAATCCTTTCATTTTTTATAAAATATACATAGTATAGAATTTAAAATAACAAAGTTTTGGGCAATTTTATAACAAACAGAAATATTTTTTTTTGTTGCTGTTAGACATTAGACAGATCGAATAACCCAAATTTCAATTTTTAAAATGTTCCTTTCATAATTTTACCAATTTTTATTCAAGATCATGTTTTGCCAATTTTACACATACTTTATTTTTTACCTCGAATACTATAAGAGATAGGTGTAGGTTGGTATAACAGAAAAATTATGACATATGATAGTAGTTTCCAAAAATGTAATAATATTATTGGTGTTCCATTTAAAATTACAAAGATGCTATCACTTTTCAAATGATCTGGCAACACTGTAACGCTGATAATATATTTATTTGAAAAATGCAAATTTTCAAAAAAATCCCATCACCGGTTCTCCATAAACGTCTAACAGCGCTTTCAGATGGAGTGGACCGTCCGGGTCCACGCGGGCCGTCCGTCGTGTTTTTTCAAGATAGCCGTCGAACAAAATAATCCGGACGGAGCATACGCGACCCATGTGAAATTGTTCATATAAAGCCATGGTACGTGGTCGAAGTCGCGGACGGTCCATCTGAAAGCGGACTAATCCGCTCCATCTGAAAGCGCTGTAAAGTTTTGTGTCCTGGCTGGTTAAAAGATGCCCAAATCGTACCATCATCGCCGTGAATTACCCTATATATTGTATTTTTTCAGTTACATAATTAAAATAAAATTATTAAGAATTTTTGAGTTATTAATTAATTATTATCTGCTTTAATTATTATCGAGTTAAGATCGTCGCAAAGCAGTAGTTATTAACAGACTCATATTAGGACATTATAGGTTTTCTCATCAATTTTTGCTTAAGGGTCAACCACCGCCTCTATGTGATAAATGTAGTAATCCTTTAACTGTCAAACATGTCCTTAAGGAATGTAGTCAGTTAATTAACCTAAGAGAAGTCTACAGAGTCTTTCGTCAGACATGTCAGTTATTTTTTCTACAAGTGAGCAACCAAAACTTTTTGATTTTCTGGAAAGATCGGGATATATGTATATCTAAAATATAGGTATCTAAAAAACTACATTTTGGTTTAAAAGCAACCAATTACTAATTCAATTGTACATATTTTTACGCTTTATTGTTTTATTCTATGTTGTCTGTACCATTTACTTTTTATTTATACAAAATCAATGTCTGTACTGTTAACATATACAATCTGTCTATAAACATGTTGTTTAGTAAAATCTCAAATTTTGTACCGAACTAAAATAGCGGGTGGTACGCCGCTAAATAGCCTTTGATGCTGATGCGGCTTGAAAGCTAAATTTCTTCTTCTTCTTCTTTAGTTAATAATAAAAGTAAGAAAGATCCAGAAAAGATCTAGTGGTTCATAAAATTTAAGCAACAAATTATTTCTTTTTAATTCTCAAAATAAAATAACTCGGTTATTTTCGACTTATTTGCAGAACGTAAAGAGAAAATATGTTTCTTTTATAGAGATCTACCAGCCCTGAAAATATTTGCACTTATTTAAGACTCATCCTGTATACAGAGTGGCGCACCTCATTCGCCTCGGTTGATTATACGAAAACGGAAAAATGTAGAAATCAACTATTTTATGGGTATATGTAGGAAGGCAATGGAAGGCAATGTGCATAATTTAAAATTATTTTGAAATGTACAGGGAGTGTCAGCACTAAGATCTATACCAAAGTTATATTTTTTCTTATGGAACACGTGGTATTTTATTTCATTTTTGGATTCTTGAACATAAAATAAGGCATTTATTATAAGGGTTTAATATGTTTAAAAGCTTTGGTTGGCTAGGCCGTACCATACACGATACCGCATAAACAACATACGATGTCGTCACGTCACGTCAAAGGGCGGAGCGTAAAACTTTTCCAAACGCGAGTGCAAGACCCTAATTTATAATTTTAATTCTTCCATTTTCTCCGAGCAAATAGAGCTTTCAGATATTTACTAGAATTCAACGTATGTTTTAAAGAGATTTTCCTATAATTTGATAAAAGTAAAGTCTATTTTCAATTATATCTAATAATTTTAAGCAGTTTGAGGTTATACCCGTTGTTGTTTTTTTTTACATATCAAGAATAATGTGTGATTTTTATTGTATTTCTAGTTTCAAAAGTAACCAAGATGTGTTTTGCTCCTAACTGTAAACATTATAGCGAGAGACAAAAATGCAATTTTTTTATGTTTCCTGCAGACCCAGCGGAAAGAAGGAATTGGATTAATCTCTTAAGGTATTAGTTACAAATTAATATTGTATTATTGGGATGTTTTACTGTTCAAAATTTACAATAACTTTAAGCAGGTAACCCATTATGAACGCCCGGCCCGGCACAGAACAACACCGGTCAAATTCATAGGAAACATTATGCATAGTACACTAACCGGCACGTTATTTTTTTGTAATTATTTACGCACGTGCAAATGAATTCATTATTACTTATTTTATTTGACTGTATGAACACTCACGAAGTCTAGTCTGTCTGAAAGGAAGAGGTAAATTTATATTAAATTTTCCTAAATTTCACGCCAGACAGTCCATGTCCATTATAAGGAGTATCCGTTATTTAGAGGTGTACATATTGTAGTAGTGAAATTCAAGAAGTTCACTTCATTCACTCTGTTCTTTCAATTTGTGTATCTCTAGAATGGTGGAGAAACTCACCAGGGAAGAGACAGCCGAAAAAGTTCATATAATAGAACATTCGCCAAAGTTTACGGTAGACCTGATAAGCAAGGACAGAAAGACAGTCAAAGCTGTAGTGGGTCTACTAACAGGGCGTTGTAAGCTAAATAGGCACCTAAAGATAACGGGGTTGGCAGACGAAGCCATGTGCAGGTTCTGCCAATCTGATAACACTGAGCGGAGCGTTCGCGACGGACCGTCCGCGACTTCGAGCAAGTACCACGAGAATATATTTATATTTATATGAACAAGTAGCATGAGAATATATTTATATTTATATGAACGATTTCACATGGGTCGCGTATGCTCCGTCTGGATGAGCTATATTGAAAAAACATCCGCGCGGACGCTCCGCGCGTACGGTCTGCTCCATCTGAAAGCGCTGTAATTGAATAGCTAACCAAAATCCCAGCCTTTGGCCGTTCAGTCCGCCGGACTTAGCGCCTGTGGATTTTTATCTTTGCAGAAGAATAAAGGTTCTTATTTTTAAATTGCCCGTATCTAGACAAGAATTAGAAGTACTTACCGGTTATGCGAAGGTATCTTTCACATCTACTATAGAAAAGACTTCTAAAGACTAAAAGTCCCTTTAGAAGCGTCCAATTTGACCCGCCCTGTACATTCCAGGATAAAATATACTTTTTTTTATAAGCTAAGAAAATATTTTAATATCAAAGTAATGCATACATATTATAGAAAAACAAATTATTTTAACATAATTTGTTACTATTATATTATACCATACTAGTGATAAGCCAATGGAAAACCAAGACCCCCATGGTTTTGGTCTGGCAGGATCCAGCATTGGTTGTGGTACTTATTCTGTAAGGGTCTGAAAGAGAGCACGTATAGACATGGGTTTGTTTGCACATTTTTGATAGATTTCTAAGACAATTTCTACATAGAAGATCTTTAAAAAAATGTTTTTAAAGTATTTTAGAGCAAATGAAACTCTAAAGAAATAAATAATATTTGTATGTATTGTATCTGTCTTTCTATGTGCCAATAAAAAAGTTTTTGTGGTTTATTGTTCATGGCTACTAAAATCACCTATTCGCCGGCAATCGTTTCAGAGGAAACTTCTTAAATATTTGTTTTATTTAATAAATTAAAATTAATGGGATGTAATAAAATATTAGTATGTAATAAAAGTCTCTGCTTGCACTGGTTTGTCTTGCTATTAGTCCTGTAGATCGAACACTAGTCTTGACCAAGACCAGTCTTGCTCTTTATTAATTATTACACTCATCATTCTTACATACTACGTATTTATTTTTATTTTACAGAAGAAAAGATCGTGATCCATCAAGGTATTCTAGAGTTTGTAGCTGCCACTTCAAAGATAGTTCTAGACAAAATTGGCCCACAATTTTTGAGCATAACAGGTAAAGGTCTATATTAACTTTTACTTCTACTGAGGGAAAGTACCGCATGATTAAAAAAATGGCATCAAAGACGGCTGGGTAGTGACAATCTGTGATTTTGGCCTGGTCAATCTCTAGACGTCATTTACTAAAAATTGACATAAACTTTTTTTTTAATTTTACGTTGAGCATATGTTTGTTCAGATCACTGCAAAAATATGATCTATTAGAGAAACCGTCAAGGAAAATTCGTCTCAAGAAGATGATGTTCCATTTTTGAGTGACGAATTTAGAATTAAATTTTATTTTAAAATTAATAGGTGTCTCTACTACTGCTTTTTTAGACGACGACATAGTTTCAGTTCAATGATCAAATCTGAAATAGATGAATCTTCATTCAATTTGACAGTTCCAGAACTTATTGAGCTCTCATATGTATAAATAAACACAATGGATAATTCTGCAATTTATTTTACCGGTACAGGTAAAAATAGACCTGGGAACTTTTGATCACATTTATATTAGAGAAAATAACCATAAAAATTTACAATTGTTTTAATATTTTACTTATTTTCTAGTAATGAAGTCCAGCTGTACATTAACTCATTCTAAAACATCAATTAGGTTGTTTCCAGTGGCGTCGCCAGATATTTTTTTCAGGGTGGGCCAGCACTGGGACCAGGTTTTATTCGGGTGGGCCAGATAATTTACCATATCATAGTTGTTGATTATATTTTCTGGACATTGCGCGGGTGGGCCGTTAGTGGGCCCAAGCTAATCAAGGGTGGCCCACGGCCCACCCTGCCCCCCTCGGGCGATGCCACTGGTTGTTTCATTTACATTGAGTCAAAACTCTATTTCCAGTGTAGTTAAATTAGAACAGGTACAAGGTATGCAGACATTGATTTTTTACCTGTTTTGCAGTTTTTTTATATTTACTTCAAAACAAGCACTAGAGTAGATTTTTAATAATATCTGTTAAAATACTTATAACTATATTAAGTTATTATACGAGCCTAAGCTTACACTTCTTTTATTTCAAACATAAGTTTATGAAGTGGTATGATGATGGCTAAACGAAATGTTATATAAAATAGGTCTTTAAGATTAAAACCTCCATATTGTTTTTCGCAGAAAACATCCAAAATTCAAGTCCTAATTATTCATTTCGGTCATTTTATTTTTTTAACTGTCAAGATCAAAGTCCGCTTGATACTGAAACTTTTGGGTACTTTATATTAGAGAAATTAACAATTTACTTATTTATTTTCTAGTGATGCAGTTATTCAGACAAGCAGTTCATTAACGGACTCCAAAATATCAACTAGTGTGTTTGATTTAGGGCCTGTAAGTCAAGATCCTCTTTCCAGTGTCGTTAAATTAGAACAGGAGGAAGAAATACATACAAGGTATTTTTATAAGTACTTTTGCATAATAAGCATTTTTTGCAATAAAAATAACTAATATTTTTAAAATTTTAATAACTATTGCAAAATAGTTACAAGGCTAAGTTTAAACTTATTTTCTTGGAAGTACAATGTGATCAAAAAGTTTTCTAATCAAGTGTGCTGTGTGCTTCGTAGCATGACAAATAATAAATTACTATGGAAAATTATGTTACAAATTAACTGTTAATATTAATGTCCACTTTATCTTAATAGTTTTTGATAATACTGTCTATACTCCATATCAGGGAAAATAGGCTTTAGCCTGGTGTATCATAGAGGTATGGAGAAACATCTTTTATTGAACTGTATTTTAAAAACTAGTCCCAAAATGAGAAAAATAAGGGTTCACTAAATGACCACAGTAGCGTTAACAAGCAATAAAGGATTGAACTAAACTTAACAGTTATAAATAATGTGAAGTTAGTCAAAAAGCGCATTCAGAAATCACATATTTATCATCTCTTTTTAATTATTTTACTTTTTTTAAAAATTTTTAGCGCTTTTTTCAAATGTAAAACTTTTTCTACAGCAACGCCATCTTAAGTCTTCCCTCTTTGATCACCACTTTTGGATAGACGAAAGATATTTCTCCTTACCTCTACCCTTCATGTGCCGGTGTTTGCGGTTGCAGTAAAAACGCATGCGTTTTAACGGCACCGGTACCAATCTTATACATCAACCTATCATGTCATACTGTGTTGCATTATGCGTTTTTGCGGCTGCAATAAAAAGAGTTACGCATATACATATCAAATACTTATAATTTTTTACTTTATAAATATATGCAGTTAACATAAGGATATTCGTGTCGGCGCTACATTTCAGTGCTGCCGTCAAACCGATGAGCCGCATGAAATTGTGGGAGGGTTGGTGATGCGGAAAAAAAGCATTTACGTTTCATATAAGCTTTTTATTCAAAGATATAAAGTAATGTCCGATTAACACAGATGTATCAGAAGTGCCACATCTGAAAGTTCATCTGTGGTAATGTGTTGTCGTCATCCCTGGTCCCTGCATTTTTACTGCAGCCGTAAAACGCACTGTGTAACATCGGGCTTAAAAAATACAGTCTGACAAATGGATCTGAAACAATGGGGCAACGGTAAGAGGAACACAGTTTTCGAAAAACATGGCCGATTTTATTCATAGAATATTCAGGGGGTGTTTTATAAAAATTTATCAAGAATTTCTGTAATATTTTCCAGTAAACTTTATAATATTATTATGCTTTAAATGCATCTACATATTGTTAGGTGAATTTGTTAGAGTATATTTTCAATATCTTGTTACTATCTATTAAGTTATTATAGATAGTAGTTATAAGGTATACAGTCAGAAAAAGTATATTGTTAGATTGGACACTCAAACTGAAGGTCGAGATGTTTCTTCAACTTCTCGCCGAAGCGCTAATGACGCTAGCGCGGGCTTCCCAAATTAATTAACAATTTTACATTTAGTAGCTATAATTAAATTATTTAATTTTACATACACTGACATAATCTCCAGTCTTAGAACAATTTTTCAAATATTAATGGCGACTGGGAACATAAAGAAAATTAATTAACAGCGATATAATATTTATTTGTTTATGAGCCTTACATCCCTTATTACTCCTTCATGAACAATTGGGCACACAACAATAACTAGTAAATAACGGCTATAGCGTGGAATTATTAGTTTTTTACCCCAATACTATAATACACAAATACATATAATTCTAAAAATAGGCTTTATGAATATAATTATTACACTTGATTTTTTTTAACTACCAAGATCATAGTCTAACCATGAAACTTTTATGTACTTTATATTAAGCGACCCACAAATTATCAAACAAATTGCGCAACAAAGCGATGCCCAACGTTGCGTTGCACAACTTTTGTGTACAAAGTTGTGTATTGTTCGAGAAAAAAGCGACGTCGCTAAACAACTAAAATGTTGCACAGCGAAGCACAACACACACATACAATGCACAACGCGTTGCGCAAACAGTCCCGTTGCATAAAAGAATTCAAACATTTTGAAACTTTTCAAACAATTGCGCAATGCATCAAACAAGGCCATACATTAGCATCTCGTTGCGCAACAGCTTATGTTGCGCAATTTGTTTGATAATGTATGGGCCGCTTAAGAGAAATTTAACATAAAAATAAGTATTATTTTACAATTTACTTATTTATTTTCTAGTGATACATTTGCTCAGCCAAGCAGTTCACTAACGGACTCCATAATATCAACTAATGTGTTTGATTTAAATCCTATGAGTCAAAACCATTTTTCCAGTGTTGTTAAATTAGAACAGGAGGAAGAAATACCAACAAGGTATTTTTATATGTACTTTTATGCATAAGTATTTTTTTTTCATAAAAATAGCTAAGGTTTTTGGATTTTTAATAACTATCGCAAAATATTTACAAGGCTAAGTTTACACTTATTTCATGTAGTATTCATGTAGTGTTAGTATCATGTCTCATATAAAGTAATGTGTTGTCACCATTACTATTTTTACTGCAGTCGCGTAAAAACCCGCAGTGTAACATCGGGCTTAGAAATTAACAGTCTGACAAAATGGATCTGAAACAATGGGACAATGGTAAGGGAAACGCAGTTTTCGAAAAACATGACCGATTACATTCATAGAATATTCAGGGGTGTGTAGTGTTTTATGAAAATATATCAGGAATTTCTGTAATATTTTCCAGTATACTTTATAATATAATTTTACCTTAAACGTACCTCCATATTGATTTTTTTGCGAAAAACATCTGTAATTCAAATTCTAAAACTGGGCTTTATCGATAATTACACTTGATTTTTTTTTAACTGTCAGGATCAAAGTCCGCTTGATCATAACACTTTTATGTACTTTATTAAACATAAAAATTAAGTTTAATTTTACAATATACTTATTTATTTTCTAGTGATACATTTGCTCAGACAAGCACTTTATTAGCGGACTCTAAAACATCACCTACTGTGTTTGATTTAGATCCTTTAAATCAAAACCCCCTTTCCGGTGTGGTTAAATTAGAACAGGAGGAAGAAATACAAATAAGGTAACTTTATAAGTACTTTCATGCAATAAAGATTTAGATTATTTATTTTTTAGACCTGAATTTGCTCAATCCTGTGGTGCCTTAACCGACTCTAACAAATCGATTAGTTTGTTTGATTCGGACCCTATGAGTCAAATCTCTATTTCTAGTGTAGTTAAATTAGAAGAGGATCTAGAACAGGGACAAGAAATACAAACAATTACACGGTATTTTTTTCTGTTGGAATAAAAATATCTGATTATTATTATTAATTATTTTTTTCAATAATAATATCTGCGATAGTACTTATATATATACAGTGTGGTTCATTAAAGTATGCAACATATGGGATTTTTTTATTAAAGCCCTATCTAAATGGGAATACTGTCAAAAGTTAGTGAATGTGCGATAACCATATCAAAGGTACTTACAATGATTGCAAGTCAAACAACCTACAGGGTAGGCAAAAAACGTACGTAAGTTTCGCGGGTGTCCGGGTAAAAACGAATGAACGAGAAATTTTGTATAACTATTTTTCACATATTGAGCTTGAATTAGTGAATAATCTAGCATATGCAACATGCAATCAGTGAAATCGAAAAATGAACTTCCCAGAAGCACTGTCTTGGCTGCGTCAAGGCTACTCTCTACTGGGTGCCAGGCCACAGTGCCACACCACAATGTGGTGGGCAATCAAGAAGCAGACAGACTCGCCAAAGAGGGGACCATGGGAGAGGCCTTGGTAGATGACATATATACCACTTGTGACGATCAACACACTGAAGGAAGCTATAGGAACTACCATCAAGGCCAAGCAGCAAGAGACGTGGCAACACCGTGAGGACTGCGCTAGAGCTCGAAGACTATGGTCAGTTGTAGATAGCAAAAAGACAAAAGAACTTAGTACGCATAATTGTAGGTGGCATCACTGGAAACTGCCCCACGAGGGTAAACCTCGTGAGATGGAAGATTTCCAACGACGACTACTGCAATGCGGAGAGGAAGAAGAAACCATAGTGCACCTGCTGTACTACTGCCCGGCACTGGAATAACGACGCTTTAAAACTTTAGGGCATATATACGATCATACACGTTGCATACTTAGTGAACCACACTATATTTATAAGTATCTCAATAATTACAAGTCTATGCTTACACTTGTTTTATTTCAAATAGGTACCATATTATGGAAAATAAAAAACCGATTACCTTAAGCAGGGTCTCCACCAAAGCAACATAATGTCGACGACATTGTCATCAACTTTTGTTACTATTTTCATAAATATTTTCGAGAAATGTAGATAGTACCTACCAAAGAAATATTGTTGATCGACTTCATTTTTCGACTAAAGAGCGAAAGTTTATTTAGTGTTTATCAACATGTGGAACGACGAGGATGTAATTATAATCTCATCCGTATTCCTTATTATTTCGCGAAATGGAGCGTCGTCCAGCCAGACGGCAACGTCGTTTTTGGATACGTCCTAGCCTCCGGAAGAGAAATAGTGATAGTGACTTGCTCACTGATCTTTGTACAGATGACTTAAATCTGCTCCACAATGAAATAAGAAGTAGTTTCAAGAATTTTCTAAGAATGAGTTCAGCTGACTTTGAATCATTGCTCCAAATAATTGGTCCTAGGATTCGTAAAATGGACACAAATTATCGAGATGCAATTCCGATATTTTTCACCCTCTCCACTTCTAAACTAGTTGCAATATCATTCCAGGCATTATACTTTCTATTTCTGTTCTTATACCAAGTAGTATGCTTAGTGTCCCAAAGTTCAGGGTGGACATCTTGTTTTATCATTGCTCCACTCCATACCAAATTTATTTTTAGCAACAGAATAAAAAACAAACTTCTGGCCTTGTGAACTACACAAGTACAAATGGCGAAATAGACCCGATAAAGTTACTGATGGGAGTTGATTCGGTGGAGATGTCTTTCGACATGTTTGTAAACATTGTCGTCGACACGATTTTTCTTTGATGTACCGCTCCTCAAGCGAAACATGAAACAAAGTCGGCGACTTAAATCTGCGACATAAAATGTCGACGACTTTACTGAATTTTCAGCAACATTGTCGACAGCACTAGTCGGTGACACAGTCGCCGACAAATGTTGCTTTGGTGGAGACCCGGCTTTAGAAATGACGATCGATGACGGTCGCTAGTAAAACTTTAGATTTAAAATGGTCATCAATTCTCATTTCTAAGGTGACTTGATGTTAGTGTTTTTTTCGACTTTACAATAGAATATGATCAGTAATCAGTACATACAACTATTTTTATTATTATTTATTATATTTTTAGAGATACATCACCTTCTGCAATAGACATTAAGACTGAATGTGTATTCTTTATAGAAAACGATAAAATAATCCTAAACGAAACAATTGTAGAGCCTACGAAAAAAAAGAGGTATCTAGTAATTTCTTTAAATTATATTATTATCTTTTGGTTATAAAAATATGACTTAGGTGGCTTCTTTCTCATTGAGTCTTGTAAACATATTTAGGAGAGAATTGAGGCTGTAAGACGCAAATGAGTGTAAGTGCTTTTGATTTCAAGCATAATTTCAAGAAAAAAAGTTAAAGTGTTATAGAAAAGTCAATATGTACTATTTACTTTTTCTACCAACTAATAGATGTCGCTTGTGTTCATTTATTTATGATATATCTCTTTGCCACCAAATCAAATATTAATTACTTCAGGCCTGTGTCTACGCATATAACTCATTTTTTTTAAAGGTCACGGACACACCTTTGCATCTTACCGCCTCAATTAATTATTCGTTCACTCTTTGCTCCTCTCTACTACGTATTAATGCTAAACTTTATTGAAATTTTTGTCTTCAAAAATTAGTTTGACTTAATGAATGCAACTAATGTCTTTTACAAATGGTACCGTAAAATGGGGTGAATAGAAACATAGGGGTGAATAGAAACAACATTTCTGAAAAAAATCAAATCACGATTAAAAATATTCAAAGTAAAAAGAGTCGACATATCTAATTTTTCTATCATTGGTAATACACAACTTTGAATAAGAAGACTAAGGAAGGAGCATATTAAAAATCTTAGGTACACCGCGATGGGCCTCAAATATGGCCGACTTAAATTCCGGTTTATCAGTGTCGTTCTAATTTTATTTAAAAAATGTAAAACTATGATGTAGGGTAGACGTGGGGTAGACACAATAATTTGTTGTTTTATTTTACGTTGTGAATAAATGTTGGTAGTTATTAAAATTTTTATAAAAATATATAATTCTAATAAAAATAGATAAGTTATAATAAGTATTTATTAACACAAACATCCGATACGCTACTGAAGCAGGTAAGTCAAATTAACGTATCTAAATTCTTTGACAAGTAATAAATAAAAGCTAAAATGCAAGAAAAATATATAATTTAGTTAATTTAAGTGAATTTCATAAATGATCGGTTTACTACACGTATGTATATTATATAGTCACTTACTAGCGAAAAGTTGTTCCATTATTTCACTCAATTTTTGCCGAGATCTACGCACGCTAAACAACCAACTATTTTAGAGTCTTTTTCGATAAATCGCGATAGTGTCACTGTTAATTTATGTTCTGCCACAATTTCCATCTAGATTTACTACCTTTATACAACTATCAGTAGTAGAATAAATAATAAATAACATAAAATAAGCTCCGTAAAGACTGACAAATCCACAAAATTTCAAATCAAATTCAAATGTGTCAAATGAATCGTCAAACAGAACTGTCAAGGATCCCCACCCTAGAGAGCTTTTATGGTGCCTTTTCCGCCCACCATGCATGAATACATGGATAGCATTATGCTCCTTCCTTAGTCTTCTTATTCAAAGATACCATAAAAGATACTCAATAAAATGTAAAAACTATATTTTTATCTGTGGCAGCACTGTTTCTGTCAATCAGCTGATCAATAAATGTGAGATCGATTTATCACCTATTTTGTATGGCGCGAAAACTTTATAAATAAAATATTTATTTTTAAAGTAATACTTAAGCTGGTACATGTAAGTTGTTATATTATATGTTTTGCTAATTATTGTTAAACCTACTTAAATATGTAATAATTTACTGTTTCTAATCACCTTGTTGGAAATAGAATAGATAAAAACATTAACATCAATGTGTGTTTCTATTCTCCCGAACAGCAGGTGAATAGAAACACAAAAGTTATTTTTATTTAATATTTATATGCATATTTTTCAAAAATCAAATTATATGTATACGCAAAGAACAAACAAAGACCCATGTTTTAAAATATTCGGGAACATAATACCACATTTTTATCAACCGGTATATCGCTAATAGCCTACGAAACTGTTTCTATTCACCCCATTTTACGGTATGTCTTATAAAAGCATATTTTAAATTTAATTTTAGAAGAAAACTGATTAGGAAACATTATGTAGGAGACTTTACTAGAGATGGCTTACTGAAATCTAGAGGATATAAAAAGGCATTTCAAGCTGCTAGAGTTAAAATAGCAGAACAAAAACGACAAATGGAAAGATATAAGAAGCAAATTACAAGACTAAAATGTGAAGTTAAGGACTTGACTGCTTCACTTCGTCCTTCCTTAAAAACTGATGAAGCAAACATGGGGGTAAGTAAATAAATCTTATTTTTATTAAAAATTCATTTTTATGAAACTAATTAGTGTATTAATCATTTGCATAAAAAGACCGAGGAAGGAACATATCAACAAAATTAGCCCGACCGCGATGGGGGTTTAATATGGCCGAATTAAATTGCATAAACCGCAGTAGCATTTAAATTTTATTTAAAACGTGTTACAATATAAAGTATGATAGACTCAATAATTTGCTGGTTTCGTTTTATGTTGAGCCAATTACTTGTTAAAATTTTTAAAATATATATTTATAATAGAAATATATAATCTAATTATTTAATTACAAAAACTACAGATGTGGTACTGAAACATCAAACTAAAGTATTCTCATTATGTTTGACAAACGAAACTTCATAATTGACTTACTACTTATAACGAATATTGTTACGGGTAATACGCGAAATTAATTAATTCCCGAGTTATCCGGTTAAAACGCAACCTAGCCAAAAGCGATGGATAAACCCCGAATATTTTTTAGTTTCGCCCTTCAGTGCAAACCATAGACTTAAAATAAAATATAGACTGAGCATCTCATTCATAAATAGCTGGAACATGCGGTCAGACACTGTCTTGTTATTGTTGTGTTATTGTTTTAGGTTATAACGAGTGCGACACGAGCGATAGATAGGTTGTCTCTGTCGTAACGGTCGTTCCCTGACGACTGTGCCAAGAAACACAACACTGTCTTTCGTTTCTCAAGTACACCTGAACTCTCCCTATCATAGCCGGGTAATTTTTTTATTTTAATGAAGCTATAATTAAATTAAAAATATATCGTATTTAAACTTTTTTATATTTTATTAAGATTTAGGACAGGTTTTTTAAATAAAAGTTTAGAAAAAACAATTTAGAGTTCAAAAAGGATAAAAATAATAAAATACACGTTATAGAAAAAATTTTATAATCGAAATTAGGTAATTTTTGAAATTAATAATAAATTATTAATTTTAGTCAAACATTTACAACCCCTAATATTAATCAAAACAGGATCTATTCCACAGATATAATAGAATCGGCGACAGGGAGAGAAAAAAAAATATGATTGTTGTAATTTTTTTCTGGTTAAGTGATGTCTTATTATGTAAATTAGAGAAAACATAAATCTGTTCCATTAAAGCAAGGAAGGTGATAGGAAGTGGATAAAATAAAAACTACATTTATTTAACTCGGTACTGTCTTATTATCTTACTATCTATTATACCGGGTGCGTCTCAAAAGTGGCTCATCCCCATAATTTTTTTATATTTTCAAATAAAAAAACAAGATTTAGTATGTTAGTATATGAAATAAATTTGGATTGACGCATTCCATTGTTTTTGGTCACTTCCTGTTTCACCGGAAATAACTATAACTTTTAATTTTTAAACGGCACCCTCGGTATATTTCTACTTTATTCGATAGAAAATGACACTCTGAATAGAATGACATATCATATGTCAACTTTTGACATTTTCGCATATGGTTTAATTGTAATTGTAACACGCGGTTCATAACGACAATTTGACTCGAAATACCAAGTGTGTGGTATCATATATTCATAAAAAAATGCTTTTTCCAAATATGCTAATGAGTCACCCTTGTTCCATTTGAAAAAATTGACATATGTATGATTAAAAATACGATTTGTACATATTTTAACCGACTTAGACAAGACACGAAACCTATTAGACGATCAAAACTATTTTTCCAAGGCTCCTTGATTAAAACTTAGTGTTTTTAACAACACCATGGCACCCTGGATTGAAATTTAAAATACGATTTGTTTTTCAGCGACAATGTCAAAAGTTGACATATGATATGTCATTCTATTCAGAGTGTCATTTTTTATCGAATAAAGTAGCAATATACCGAGGTTGCCTTTAAAAATAAAAAGATGTAATCATTTCGGTGAAACAGGAAGAGACCAAAAACAACTGAATACATCAATAAATCCTAATTTATGTCATATACCTATAACATACAAATCTGTTTTTTTTATCTGAAAAAATAAAAAAGTTATAGGGGGTGAGCCACTTTTGAGACGACCCGGTATATTAAAAAATATTGTTTCATAATGTAATATCAATTTAAAATTCTTGTATGTTATTTTATATGCTCAAGATAATTTTAGAATAAACCATATTTTTAATAAAATCATTATTAATTATTAACAGGGTTATAATTATGACTTTGTTACAATGTAAGTAAGTAAATAATGTAATGAGAAAAAATTCAGATTTTACATTTTACTAAAATATTATCTAAATAAGCGCCTTTCTACAACAACGCCACTGGCTCCCAATGGGCAAATTGAGAGTTGTCTACCGGTCGAAAGTCGTTTCAAGACTTAAATGGATTATTTAAGTCAAATTTCTTGCAAATTTGGCACTGGCGAACCATATTTTATAGTTCTTGAACAGAAAAAGTCAATAAAATAAACACTTAAGGACTACAAACTAAGAAAATGCGTTAATACAGCCGGGGACATAGCGGCATCAAAGCTTTACCGCACACTTGCCACGCGTACTACAAGGTAATAAATGAATGAATAGGCTCCCTCGCCTCTAATCGGTGTTATCATATTGTAAAGAACTTATCCTTTTTAAACAGTATCCGACTTATAATTTAGTAGTATAAGGACTATTTAATACATCTATGGAATATTAAAACCTACTTTATTAAACTGTAGTATTAATATCTCAATATATGTGTATAACAAGAAAAAAAATATTGATAATATTAAAGACGTGACAACATAGGCTGGATGAGGAAGGCTCGGTCGACTGTACCCAGAAGTAAACATGTGTACAAAAAAGGTTGTTTGTCCGCGTTGAGATGTAAATAGTGTAGTCTATATTTTATTTTAAGTCTATGGTGCAAACAGATTAAAACGCGAATTACCCAAGAGCAACAAGAGAGAAAGAGAGAGAGAGAGAGAGAGAGAGAGAGAGAGAGAGAGAGAGATATTGTTGAAATGAAAATTGAGAGATTTTTAATAATCTTAAAAAATTAAAGTGTCACGTGATATCTTTTTTTTAATAGCAAATTAGTTTAAAAATAGCGCCACTAAAAATTAAGATTGACGTGTCCGAGCGTTTTCCAAAAAAAAACGGTTGAATTTTAAATGAATTTATCTGTTACTTTACGGACACACTGGATAATCTATTACTGCTGTAGTAAAATGAATAACTAATTGTGAAAAATTAAAGTTCCAACCCCAGATGCCACATTTTTCCTAAGCGCCTACTTGTGCGGTTTGATGTTTTGATGCAAAATTTGGCAATACCGCATAGAAGAAATGTATCAACCCAACTTTTATCTCTTTTTAATACATTTAATTTTTCATCAAGCTGTATACAATAGTGTACATCACTATCGGACACATTAAAATCCAGATCACGCTTTTACGGTGACCCGATCGGTATACATATAATTACTTACTAATGTAGAATGTAGAATTCTACACTATGTAGAAAGTCTACATTCTAGTACTAGTGAAAAGATATTCCATTATTTTTGCTGGGCAGCGATCGCATGCTGTACATACAGGGTGAGTCAACGATAGAGTAAAGTCCATTATCTCATTTGTTTCGAGGTTTACAAAAAAATATTAAATATAAAAGTTATAGGGACGGTTAAAATACACATTTTAAAATTATTACAGAATATACAGGGTGCTTCAAAAAAGTGTGGCGAATATAACATGTTTTTTTTAAAGGCAACACCCTATTTTTATATAATTTTTAGATTCTGCGTTAAATTTTATAACTTTTTTATATATAATGTTATATACCTAAAATTAATAGTTTTTGTAATATTTAAATTTGTTTAAACAAATGTTAGATTACAGTCTGATAAAAAATTGTCAGTGGTGCCATTGTTTCTGAAGTTGGAAAACTAAAATTTGGTAGGAGAATTTTATAGACATATAGAAAAAGACCTATGAAAAGATATTTTAGTTAGATGCTACAGGGTGTTCAAAATATATTTATGAATTTAAACTACTTAAAATTAAGAAATTTTAAATTTTTTAAACGGTATGCCCTATATATTATCATTTTTTCTGATAGATTTTACAAAACTCTTCAACTTTTATGAAGTATGTCATAGACCTATTTTTAATAGTTTGCGATTTATTCCAATTTTTTTTATTTTTACCCATATTTTTAATACAATTACGCTATAACATCATAGTTCCCATGACAAAAAGTAATAATTATCAAAATTTCATGTCTGTTAAGCAAGTTAAGAACAAAATTTGAGATTTAGTTTAGGTTCTTGTAATAAGTAGAAATGGTACAGATAATAGTTACAGATTTTCCTGAAATGAATTATACACTAACAAACCAAGAGAAACATATTTTTTGGTTCATTACTATATATTATATAGTACTTTGCTAAGTACTATAAGAATAGATGTAGATTATCATATTCAGTGTGTAATGGGACGGTTTCACGGCAGTAGTAATATTGGCTTTACGAAATGAATTATAAACTAGAATTACTATGAGAAAAAAAACTTTACTATATGTCGAAGAAAATTCCTATATCAGTAGTCTTCAACAAATAGGTAATCTAGTACTCTGTCTAGTATTACTCTAATATGTGGCTATTCGCCCCGACGGAAAATCCAAGTGTCAACTTTCATAATATAGAAATACACCAAGAAATTCAGGACTGCGATTTTAGTTTATTTAAGTAAAGTGAATTAATCTTAACTAATACCAGCAATTGTAACTAATTATTAAGCTACTTGTTAAGGATAAGTAATAAATAGTTTTGTTTTGTCATGGTAACTATGATTTTATAGCGTAAATATATTAAAAAATATGGGTAAAAATAGAAAAAATTGAAATAAATCGCAAACTATTAAAAATAGGTATATGACATACTTAATAAAAGTTGGAGAGTTTTGTAAAATCTAATAGAAAAAATGGTAATATATAGGGGGTACCATTTAAAAAATTTGAGATTTTTTAATTTTAAATAGTTGAAATTCATAAATATATTTTGAACACCCTGTATCATTTAACTAAAATATCTTTAAATATATCTTTTTTTTCATCACTGTAAAACTCTCCTACCAAATTTTGGTTCTCCAACTTCAGAAACCATGGCAGCACTGACAATTTTTTACCACACTGCAATTTAACATTTATTTAAACAATTTGAAATATTACAAAAACGAGTAATTTTAGGTATGTAACATTATATATAAAAAAGTTATGGACTTTTACGCAGAATCTAAAAATAAAATAAAAAATAGGGTGTTGCATTTAAAAAAACATATGTTTTACTCGCCAGACTTTTTTGAAGCACCTTGTATACTCTATAATAATTTTAAAATTTGTATCTTAACCTTCCCTATAACTTTTATATTTAATTTTTTTTTTGTAAACCTCGAAATAAATGAGATAATGGACTTTACTCTATCGTTGACTCCCCCGTACAAGCAAATATTTTTAAAGCCTTTGTTGTTCTAAGATTCGGAATATTGTATCTTGAATTCAAGTCCTGACACTATGTCTTTCCAAATTTGTACACAGTACATTTTGCACAAAACCACAGTTATAATATACACAAGAAATTAAGGAAAATAAATTCAAAACATCCAAACAAATCTTAGTCCAGCAAATGAAGGTTGAAACAATGGCTTAATTTGTCGACAAGATCTTTTCAGGATTGTGTACCTTTTGGGGAGTAGATTGGGGGAAACATTTACCCCCCAACCGAAGACTACTTCCCAAAAGGTACAGAAACCGCCTAAAAAGTCAATTTCGACCAATTACGCCGAGACTTGAGTCTTTTCCTGTCGTTATTTACTGGACTATCTGTCAAAGTTCAAATGTGTCAAGTAAACTGGTAAAATAAGCATTTATGATCTTGATTCCGTCACTAATGCATAAACAAATAAAAATGGTATTACACCTCTTCTTTAGACTTTTTATTCAATAGTTTTGACAGACATTTTAAAAAATAATAAAATCTTATAAATTAACGTTTTTATGTCATTTTTAGCCTGTATGTCCTGCTTCGTCAAGAGATCTTATAGATATATTAATAAAAGGTTGTAAAAACGAAAAGTTTACTCCTGGAGAAAGAGAATTTGCTCTAACCCTTCACTTTTATTCTCCTCGCGCCTATAATTATGTTCGACAGCAATATAACAAAGCATTACCTGATACAACAACTATTACAAAATGGTATCAAGAGTCTATTAATCATAGTGAAAAGTCTGTGATGCCTTGAATTATTTCTGATATAGGTGTGTCTAAAGAATGAAAGATTTGTAAATTATTAATTTATTTTTAAATTTCAGAAATAAATATTCTAATTACAAGTTCGAAAAAGCAACAGTGCACTGTCATTAGAAACTGAAAAAGACTTCTTTGGGTGCTGATTTCCATGTGTGCGAGAAGACCAAGAATATCGCCAAATGTATGAAATAAACGGTCGCATTATGGAGATATGTAATAAATATCGTTACATTTTGCACTCTCCGACTTGGAGAGATTTATCTCTAGACATCTATAAACATATGGTGTTCCAAAAAACATGTGCTATCTCTCGTGGGGAGATCCTCACGTAAAAATAAGGTTTATTTTTTATATTAACATAGGTACGATTCTGCTTTGTTGGGTAGCTACAGGGAGTTAAAATTTAATATTTTTTTTCATATGATTATAATTTTCTCCCAAGTACTTTTAGCGATTCGAATTAAATTTTGAGAGTAAAAGTTATTATAAGTGCGACATATTTTAAAATAAATATTCTCTACGTGGTTTGACTGCTGTATACAGGGTGACTCAGTCTTCCGAAAAAAAGCGTTAACCTTTTTCGCCAATCTACAAATTATTTTTAAAATGTGCGGACAGGCTCTATTTATGAAGTAACTTTGTATATGCGCTATATTTGCACTCATATTTTGTAGATGGAGAGAAGATCTCAAATAGAAAACTTCATATAGAAGTTTTTCGGACCAGTCTGTGCCACCCTGTATATATATAATATATATAAGGCGTCGCGTCGACGCACGACAAGATATTTACATTTCAGTTGTAAATTCGTAAACATTAATAACTCCTAGAAGATTAATTATCATGTTTTGTTAAGTTATTTTTTTTTTTGTTCATATTTAATCTTAGTTTCATTTGTTTAATAAATAAGTTTGTGTGATGAATTTGTTTAATTGAAGAACCTCTAACTCTGTATCTAAATGCTCATTTACATTTGTCACTTTGGATGTACAACTTGGATGAATCATCCAAAGCGATAAGTATAAATTGCCTTTCATCACTGTTTCATCCAAAGTGTACACTTAAATTGAACGATGAAACAAGTTGACGATCTTCCTACTTTTGTTGAAAGAAGCGTTCAATGAACCGTTGATTCATCCAGTGAACGGCAAGTGAAAAATGTAAACAGGCGACGCCGACCCGTGCGGCCATCCTCGATATAGAAAGCACTGGGAGAGGTGGCAGCCTGCAGAAGATGAAACAGTGAACTGGATGAATATATGTAAACATATGATGTAAACAAGGATGTTCAATTTGGATGAATTCAATCTGAGTGATTCATTTTGGTTGTACATCCAAAGTGACACAGTGTAAACCCTGCTTAAACTTTACGTTTTTTTAAGCGTCCGTATACGTTGATACGATGGTTCGACGGTGCTCTGATTGGTCATAGCGTTTTCGCTCCACTATCGGTAAATATTTTACTTCAACCCGTCAACGGACCCGTTCATACCATGATACAAAGAATACAAGGTATGATATTGCGCAGGTTGGTTACTACGTCACAGGTGATAAACGGCACCATTGGTCGGCAAGCTCCGCGCGCCAATTTCAAATTGTCAAACAGATGACACAATAAACGCGAAAATAATTTTTCAAATGTCAAGGTCGATAATTTGACATAACTTTTGGGGTTATGTCCTGATTCTTCCCTATTTTAGGTCTTTTTTTTATTAGTGGCAATTGAACAATATGGATATTTTTCTGTATGGCGTATGACGTCACAGGTGATATGCGCAAACTTAACGGAATTGGAGCCGCTATCGATCATACCTTGTTTTCTTTGTACCATGCGTTCATACGATAACGGACGTTTTGACACTTTTTTGACAAATTTAATCTAACCTTAATAAAAATATAAGTAAAATAGCAAAATCGTTATGGAAACGAAAATATAAAATGACACCAACGTATATCCGATAAACGGAGGCATGAAAATGCAATAAATTTAAAAACTGCGTTATTTTCTAACCAATCAGTCTTTAAATTCTACCAATAAAATTAATATCGTATCAACGTATCGTCGGACAACGGATGCATGAAAATCAAGCTTTATTTTACAATTTAAAAAAGGAACTATAGGTCAAAAACAAAGCTGTGAACGTATCTTTTAAATCAAATAGTAGACAAGGCGAACAAAAAAGTTTATTGATTGCCTTTTACAACCACATAACCGGTGGTCGCTTTTATAATCATTTTCACTGAAATGACGAATACACGATTTTAATTTAGTAATAATATTCAAAATATGCTTTGGAATTCCCCTTTCAATAGTTTTTAATTTTTCTGAATACACCATAGAACTGAAGGATGATTGCAAAATTATTTCTATTTTACAGCCACACTCAGAATCGGTCATTACGACGATATTTTTTATTTTATACACACATTAAATAATCGAAATTGAATTTAATTATTTGAATAAATTTACTGAGAATTTTAATTTATTATAGATCTGTGACATTTTTAAATAAAAACGTATTATAATACAATATTTTGAAGGGATGCGACGCATCACCCGCATCAATGGAAGCTTCGCAACTGTTTTTAAGAAATTTCTAAACAGTTGATCCAAAATATAAAATGAATGTTAAAAAAGCAGACTCTGAAGATAACTGTACTTATATAGGTACTTTCCTCTATTATTAATTACCATTGAATAAAAGTAGTTTGGCGTTCAAGGAATAATGTATCTATAATGTATCTGACAAAGATATTTTATTATTATTTTACAAATGCATTTATATAATTATAATTAATCTGCTAATTTTATAAAAAAAAATCAAGGTGCTATTTGTTAAAATATTATTAAGAAAAGATTAGAAAAATTGATGCCCAATCAGTTTTTAGTCTGTGTGCCCTATTCCTATTAATAAGAAACTAATAATATCATGGTTTTATTCCTGTTGTGTTTTCAATAATAATGCATATTTTGTAACACTAGCAATGCTAGTATATTGAAAGCTATTTTGAAATTCTTTCTTACTAGCAAAACAAAAAAAAATAATATCGGGTGTTTGAAAGTCTTTAAAAAGTTAAGTCTGTTATGTAACTTTTTTTGGGGACACCCGATAGATATCAACAAGGTATACCCCTCAACAATAATTTTCGATACTACTCTAATCTCAAACCAAGTATCGAAATTTTGTTTTTTATATGCAAACATCTCTACAAAATTGTTTGCTTGGAAACATTAGGCAACCAGAAATATACATAGTCCCAACTAATGATGTCAGAAAATGTCTAGAAACGTCTAATAACTAATAAGCATGTTAATGTAACCTCAAAACTTGTTCATTAATTTAATTTTTTAGATATTTAATATTTTCCTATTAATAAAAGTGTAACATATATAATGTCGTGGTTATTCGGTTATGGAAAAAATCGGGAACAGGGTCCAGACTTGGCTCAGTTGGGACTCGGTGTACCGGCCAGTGCCGGGGGTGGAGGATCCGATGATGGGGCTCCAAAAGAACCTAATTTAACTAAAGCCGAAAGAAAACAAATGGAAGCATATAGGTTTGATTCTTCTGCTCTGGAGAGAGCTGCCCAAGCTGCTAGGGAGTTGGAGAGATCTAGTAAGTTAGCTCTTAGGTTATGTAATATAAGCCTTATATCATTAAGAAGATACATTGTTTTAAAGATATTTATACCTGTATATAATTCTTAGAGCATGCAAAAGAAGCTTTGGAACTATCTAAGCTTCAAGAAACAACGAAGCAAACTGAGCAACATGCCAAAATTAAAGAATACGAGGCCCATATTGCCCAAATGCAAATTGATGCTAAAAGAGCTGAGGCAGAAGAAAAAAGGAAACTACTTCAAGAAGAAACAAGACAACATCAAGCCAGAGCTCAGTATCAAGATCAATTAGCTAGAAAACGATATGATGACCAGTTGGCACAACAACAGAGAATGAATGAAGAAAGTTTAAGAAGGTAGGTACACAATTATATCTAGTTTATGTATTAAATTAGTAGATCCTGTGTAGACAAGAAGAATCAGTGGCTAAACAAGAAGCTATGCGAAAAGCTACAATCGAGCACGAAATGGAACTTAGGCACAAAAATGAAATGAAAAGAGTAGAAGCAGAACTTAAAGCTAAAGCAAAAGTTGATAGAGAAAATAGAGATCTCACGCTTGAACAAATTAGACTTAAAGCTCAAGAAAACCGTGTTACTGTTTTAGAAAGTATAAAGTAAGCAGTGTAGTAACTTTAATTTTGATTTTAATTTTACTTTATAATGTACTTTAGAACTGCAGGTACTGTTATAGGGGCTGGAGCCCAAGCCATGCTTACAGATTGGAATAAAGTACTAACAGCTGCTGGTGGTCTTACTTTATTAGCTCTTGGTGTTTATTCAGCCAAAGGAGCGACCTCTGTAACAGCACGTTATATAGAATCTCAGTTAGGTATTCTTATAGAAATTAAAAAAGAAATGCATTACATTATTTAAAATGTCATATATTTACAGGAAAGCCATCATTAGTTAGAGAGACTTCCAAGTTTTCTTTGCTGGAAGCAGTGAAACATCCTGTAACAACTCTAAAAAAATTAAAAACCAAAGAGGGTGATGTACTTCAAGGTGTAGTACTTGCTCCAAAATTGGAAGAGAGGTTGAGGGATATTGCTATTGCAACTAAAAATACAAGACAAAATAGGGGTATGTACAGTAATGTACTCATGCATGGGCCTCCTGGTACTGGTAAAACTATGTTTACAAAGGTTAGATAAATAAGATTTAAACTAGACTAGATTAGATTCTTGGAGGTGGCTTTCAGCCTGATCCACTGCGACCTTCTCAGATCTATCGTGGTCCAAGATTTTAACTATGTCATTTAAATAAATAACCTCACATCTATAGATTCTTAAGCTGGATCTTCACTGGTAAAAATTTATGTCAAACTGTCCATCAGAAATAATTGCTTGCTCGAAATAAATTTTCCATAATAAAGAGTCGACAATGTGGACTTGGCTCCAGAATTTTTTTTGCTAGTTATTTATTTACACTATTATTCTCTTATTTATGCTTCAAAACAAAATACACAGAGGCGTATTTATTTATTTGTCATTAATTCACTATAAAAATTTTTGTTAAAACATATATTTTTACAGAAATTAGCCCACCATGCTGGAATGGATTATGCCATTTTAACTGGAGGAGATTTTGCACCTTTAAGGAAAGATGGTGTTACTGCTATACATAAAGTTTTTGACTGGGCAAACAATTCTAGAAAAGGTCTCCTGCTATTCATAGATGAAGCAGATGCATTTTTAAGAAAAAGATCATCTGAAAATATTTCTGAAGATTTGAGGTCCATGTTAAATGCATTTTTGTATAGAACTGGTAAGTTAGTATATACAAAAACACTATACTATCGGAAAAAGGGCGTCCAAGTTAGCTTGGAATTAACAATTGACTCATCATATAATTTTACATATTGTTACAGATCTTGTGAGTCCTTATATTTAAATACACGAACTAATTTATTAAACAACTACAATACACTACTTAATAACACTACATACTAGCTCTGGTCACTATTTCCGTGTTCTGTACTTTAATGCATATGACAGAGATAAATATATACAACCAGTTGACAGACAGAGAGACAAAATAAAAAACGGCATACAGTGTTGCCGGTTCATCCGAAAAATAAAATAAAGAACGAAGATAATATTTCTAAGCTATTCAATAATGCTCATTTCTGTTAGACAATTGTTTAAGAATCTATTATAGCTGCAGTAAAATGAAGTTTTTTAAGGGAGGTTGAAAAATGGGGAAAAAATATGTAAAGGGATCTGAAAGAAAGCCAAAAATGCAATAATATACATACAATAAATATACATTTAAAAAAATAATTCCGGTCCAATCACACTTTTGAGCCACCCTATAGAAATTAAAATATTTTCTTGAAATACAACCTCGTACATACTTTAGGTTTGCACTTAAACAAAATTCTCAAGTTTTTTATCCTAGGAGCTACAGATGCCCGACGCACTATTGCCGGACACTGTATACACTTTCGCTGAGAGATGTCGACGGTTCTACAGTAACAATATAAAATGCAATTAAACGTAGTTTCCAAGCCAACTCTGACGCAATTTTTTTTTTGATCATATGTTTTGTTATTACATAATAATCTTTAGGTGAACAGAGCAATAAAGTTATGTTGGTTTTGGCGTCCAATACACCAGAACAGTTTGACTGGGCAGTAAACGATCGTTTAGACGAAATGGTGGAGTTCATTCTGCCAGGATTGGAAGAAAGAGAGCGTCTGATTCGATTATACTTCCAAAAGTTCGTGTTAGAACCTGCTGCAGAAGGGGCTAGGTAATTTAAGCACTGGGCTCTAATTTAGAGTATTATTTTTAGTATTTTATTATACTACTATTTTTTTACTTTGTCAGGAGATTAAAGGTGGACAACTTTGACTACAGTGCCATTTGTTCGAAGATTGCAAGAGTAGCGGCAGGTATGTCCGGTCGTGAAATTGCTAAATTGGGTGTAGCATGGCAGAGGGCAGCATACGCGTCTCAAGACGGCGTTTTAACGGAAAAAATGATCTGGAACATTGTAGACGATCATATTAGGCAGCATAAACAAAAGGTAAACTCCAAAAAAATATCGATAATGTAGAGCGTTTCAGGATAACTAAGAACTAATTCGGAAATTTAAATCTTTATTTCACTACCTCTTAAACAGTTTTACAGCACCATTAGTAAAACAACACTGGTTTTACCAGTAATATCAATCTATGTGCTATCCAATGACTAAAGAAGTCAAGGATTAATAACATCAGAGACCAAATTGTTACCATAACTTTTTCATATTTTTATTTTTTAATCAAACTTTTTTTGATATCTGACAAATGTGACAATATTACGAATTGCTGGTATAAAATATTTTTCTTGTGTAATTATCGCATTTTTTCCTCTTTAGGTCAACTGGCAATCAGAACAAGAAAGACTTGAATCGAAAAGCATTTATCGCTCGGAAAAAGAAGAATCCTATATACCTGTTACACCAAAAGACGTACAAATATCCGAAAATAAGGAAACTAGCGAACAGAAATAGACTGAATAAATTGTAAGTTTAGTATAGATTGTTTAACAACACTGGATTTTTCACAGAACCTGTTTATTCAGAGTTTTTTTGGGATATTAATTTAGATACAAATCTCAATGTATTAAGTTAATGATATTTCAAGGTATACTTTCTTTTTATAATATATTTTATATATTTCTTTTTATAATCTTTTCCGCTTTGGTAGGTACTTCTAGTTTAACAAGAGCTTGTTTGTTAAATGGGACCATTTATAAATAACTATCCTCAAATGAGAGAATAAAAGGCACAAATACTCAATCTTATAAGATTGTGAGTAATAATTTTTATAGGTTTAAATAAGTTGCAAATTTAGTTTAATAACATTATTTTGAAAACCACTCGGTGTAGAATATGAGCCAAATCCACTGATCTTTGATTTGAAAACTAATTTGAATTGCCCTCTATATTGACAAAAAATGTAGTTGAAATGTCAAACGAGTCAGGAAGAATTTAATAGGTAATATCTATCTAAAACATGATAGAAAATACAATTTACCTGTCAGTAAAATGACGGGCATTAAGTGTTACTCATAGATAAAGGAAACAAGTTTAGATTGGAATGCTCGGCTTGCCGCCAAAACTTATAATTGTTTTGCAGCACATACGTTGTAGGGCGCTGCTGTAGCGATTGCTAAGAACAACCGCCAAACAAGAACAGAAATAATTTTCTTTTGTCAAAGTCAGAATCTTCAAAAATTATAAAATCTTTCCAAATTTAAACCGCCCTCATTGAAAAAATACCGAAAAGTTTTTAAAGCGTCCATTTTCAAAGTAATTATTGCTATCTTGTGAGTTTAATTTAAATTTGATTTACTCTAACCTGTAATAATTGTATAAAAGTGGCATTTTAAAAACTTAAAAAGTTGTGTGAAAAACTTAAGAGTTGTGTTCTGTGAACTGCAAAAAAACCATCGTGGATCGTGGCATAACCTCGGTTTCCAATGTTTCATAGCTATTTCATACATGCCCTTATATAAAATAAAGTTTCTTATATACAACTGTATTTTATTTAAAAAATTAAAATAAAATAATAAATTTGAAGAATTAATATTTGGCGACATAATTCCGGAAAAAGCCGAACCGCTCCGAAATTATCAAAAGCTTTGGAGAATGACCGTTGTAAGAATAGCATCAAATAGTATTTACATTGCCCTTATGGGCACTTTCCGATCTAAACTTGTTTCTTTTATCTATGCTGTTACTGTCGTGTATTCTCTTGGACAGAGTTTAGCTGTTTCCTATTAAACCAGAAGTGCAAAATATTTTAAAAAGAAGTACACCTCGTAGTATTTTTCAATTCAAACATTGATTTTTTTATCTAAATTACATACACTCTATCTAAAAAAACGTATTGTGTGAGAAATCCTGTAGATGTCATCTACTTTTAATACTATTACTAAGTAATAAAATATTTTTCAGGTATATATTCCATGTGTAAACCAAGTGATTCTTGGTCGGTTTACCTGAAAGACGAATACAACCTAGTTGCAAAGCAAATTAGGAAAAATAAAAGAGGCATTTACGTGTTTTTGTATGAATGAACTCTTTTTATATGTTTTTTAGATTAAAGTGGTTTTTATATGTACATTGACAAAATATAATTGTTATCCTCGGTAAAAGTGGAATTTTCAAATTAGAATTTACATTTTTTCTAATTATGGAACACGGAAATTGTTACAAATCTATTTGTTTAATGTACACTAGCTGTGGTCATTCCAATGTGATATTATCAGGGCAAGACAAGATGTTCTTGTTTTATAGTTTGCATAAACCGTTTACAGCGCTTTCAGATGGAGCGGAGCGTCCGCGACTTCGAGTAAGTACCATAAGTTTATATGAACAATTTCACGTGGGTTGCGTCTGCTCCATCTGAAAGCGCTGTTAGTATAACGTACTATATTTTTTTCCTTTCAAAATTATAATCATATGGAAATGTTGAAATAAATGACATTTAATTAATAAAAAGTTTCTGTATTTTATTTCGGAAAAAAATATGTACCTATTTATGATATAATAAAAAAAAAATTGGGCGTGTGCACTATGTGCGCATATTTGAAGTGAAACTTACCAACAGCTATTAAATTGAATGAGTTGAAGGACATGTTTGAAAAAGTGTAGTTTGGAATGTTGAAAAAGTAATAAATTAAAAAATATTTTTTACGCGAAAAGAAAGTTTTTTACGTGTAACAAATAGTTTGAAAAGTGTAAAAAATGTTTTTGTACGTAAAATATAGTTTTTTACGTGTAACAAATAGTTTTACACGTAATAATTTGATTCACTTTCACAAAATTTGTATAGTAAACGGCACGAATGTTTGGGAGTGATTCATCCTGGTCGCTACCAGGTGAACTAATCTGTTCAAGGTAACATAAAACTTAATTCCAGTGCTGTGGTGTTTCAAGTCATATAATAATCAATATATAATCTGTTGTAATTTGTTGTTTTAACTGTCAAAGTCTTGTCAAAACATATTTGGTTATAAATATAAAATGGAATGCCCCATTGGTCGCACTGCAAGCACACCAATGGACTGACGCACAAAAACGAATCAATCAAAGAAACGCGATATAGTATCGTCTTTGTCAATCATGCTAACATTTTAGAATAAGTAGGAGGAGCGCAGGTAGATAATTAGACCCGGCCTTTAAAAACCTACGTCTGCGGTAAAAATTTACGTTTTTAATGTAAAAATGATAGCGCGCGTGACGATTCTAACTTCATCAAGCGATGATTCACTCCCAAACATTCGTGGCGTTTACTTTATTAAAATATCAATATTTTTGAAAAACACGTGGACTGCTCACAAATACACGTCGCGTCACTACATATTTCTAAGCTGTAGGCTGTCCCTGCCACTTTTTCGATCATTTACCACCTTTTTACCACTAACTCACGGCCCTGAATTTTTATTCCCAGCGCGGATAAAGAAGTTTTACATCAAAAATAATTTTAAAATTCCCAGCAGCTTTCTTATAATTTTCATCTCTGAATGATTGTAACAATCTACATTACTAAAATTTGTTTATTAGCTCATAGATTAAATAAACTAAAACATACAGTATGCTACCACAGTAGCATTGGAAATGGAAGTTTTGGTTGTGAGAGAAACCTTACTTTTGGTAATGTTAAAAACTGTTTTGTTCTGAATTACAGAAATATGCATTTGCTACAAAACTTTGAAGAGATGATTAAAAAGGGTGTAATACAGTTTGCTAGATAATTCTGCATACGATGCTCGCAAAATATAAAGGGTGTTCCATTTAAACTAAATAAATGAATAATTAGTAACTATTTATCATTAATTTTTCGGCACCCTATATTAGCTTTAGCTGGTATTATGGCTCATTCTCACGACTCGTGTACTTGACAACATTTGTTATTGATATGTATACAGGGTATACAAGGTGCGTCGGGCATCAGTTATTTATTATAGGAATTATATACGCCGCATTCTCGCCAGACCCTGTATGCCAATAAAAAATACTTGCCAAGTACACGAGTCGTGAGAATGCGCCTTTATGTTTATTGTGGCAACATAGAAAAAATCAACATACAATACATTGGTGATTTTATGATTCAATAGTTCATCCGGTTTTACCCGCCTTCTATTTGATTTCTGAAATAATAATAATAATGTAAGTCCAATGGTAGGGCATTTTTCAACTGGACACAATTGGAGAAAATTAGGAATTGAATACGCTGTGACTAAACCATAAATATTTATTAAAAAGCTAATATTTAAAAATGTATTACAATTTCTATATTTGGTTGAACAAAGAATTTTACACCTGGGTTAAACTTAAAATATATAAATAATAATATAAGAAATAAATATAAAATCTGACATAGGAATTATTATCATTATTTCACATTATACTATTATCTCAATTCATTTCTAAATCAACAACCAATGCTAAATGATCAGATGGGAAATATTCGTTTGGCAGCCCTTCATACTTTTCTAGTTCTTCTGGACTGGTAACCGGCACATTTTGAGTAACTTTCAATTTATTGGTTTCTATAAAAATGTAATCTAAGCAGCCCTTATAATCGTCGGTATAATTGGTATACTTAGGGGTACCACTCGCACTTTTCAAAAAGAATTTGTGATAGATTACAGCATCTCCTGATGGGGAAACTACAAAATCAAAATTGTAAATTATAGTCATATATCAATAAATTAATACTATAGAATGTTCAGCCATCGTTCAAAGTCACGTCATATATTTTGTCGAACTCTCTCAATCACTTGCCTACCAGATGAAAGAGATTGGTAACGTCACTACGGCATTTCGTAAATTACTGCATATTCTTTTTAGTAATTGTCAATTGATTTGGGGTTTTCAATTTTATTGGCGGGCATCATAAATATACTTATAAACTCTATAGGCTTGGTGCATTTCAGTTGATGTCAACAAATTCCGACGGCAGAAACGGCAGAAATCATATATCATTATGTACTTGACGCCGCCGTCATGTTGATCGCATTAAAATAATATTAAAATCGTGGTTTTATCATAATATTTAAGTATTTTAGTTTTTTGCTAGTGCATCTATTGAGACTATAAAACACTCAGGTATGACGTTTGTGTTATGTAACGCTATTTCGGGTAGTAAAAAATAAGTGAAAAAGAATTCGAACTAGGCGTCGTGTTGTGTTGTCACAATTTCAAAACGTAATAAAATTGCCGAAAAAATGCTAACGCGTAAAGGAGAGCGTAATTAGGTCGTTGTTGGGTGCAATAATATTCAATAACTCAACTTTCTCGGATATTCAACTCCTCCTAAACAACATTTTATAGGTTCATAGTTTCTCATACCAATTTGATCAAAAGCAAAAATAAATTCAAGATTCAAGGAATTCGAAACCAAACAAGTAAACAAAGTGTTCCTTACATAATCAAAAAATTAAATAGACATATACTAGGAGAGGATAAAATATAATTTGCAATATTAATGGTATACTTTTTTTAATCAACTAGATTAAATGTTTTATGAACATCTTCTAAAATTATAATTATGTACCTTTAAAAAATTTCGTTATAGCCAAAATAGCCCCAATTATGCCCCACTAGCAAAACCGGTAATTAAAACTATAGTCGCTACCGTAGTTAAACTCATCTAAAAAGTGTTTTTAACTAGAATAATAAATTATAATATAAGTTGGACGTTCCGCAGATATCAAAACATTTACTTTTTTATGTCTATTTTTAGAATTTTTACAAATTATACTTCGTAACACTTTTAGAATAGCTAAATAATACATTTTTCGTATACTTGCTATTTAAACCTGTGTATTTGTATATATCGATTGTTTACGATATTCTCCGATGGTGGCAGCACCGGCGGAATGCACCAAGCCTATACAGATTATTATCGCCTATCCCTGCAAATGTGTTGTAATTAGGGCGTTGTTGGGTGCAATAATATTCAATAACTCAACTTTCTCGGATATTCAACTTCTCCTAAACAACATTTTATAGGTTCATAGTTTATCGCCTATCCCTGCAAATGTGTTGGAGTTGAAGCCGAGTTCAGCTTGCCACGCACTCATGCAAAACGCAGCGCGGCGAAAAACCGTGCATCGGATTAATTGTATGTAATATAATGTCGGTGCTAACGTCTAGTCTCTTATTGGTCTTGTTATCCGATCGAAAATTCAAAGTCCAGTCTTGCTCACTACGCTTGAGCACGCCTAACCGAGCGACTTATGCCAAATTCCATCAGAAAATTTATATACCCATTTCACGGGCTCGGCTTCACAGAATGCAGTTTGGAGACGATATATGTAGTTACTTTATACCGGCGGACATAGACCAATGTCCGAATTAAAATTTGATTGTTGCTGTAAAACAAAATTCAATTTGTCTTATTGCAAAAATGGCTCAAATATTTTACCAAAATGAACAAGAGCTCATTTATTCAGCTTATAAATTATTTTTCTCGGCGTTTTTCGATTTATGTGACGCAAGTACAGTGCAAAGGTGTAATTATTATTATTAATTAGTGTAAAATGCAAACTGATAGCGTTTTTAAATAATATAGCGAGTTGCTGATGCTTTAGAATTAGGAATTTCAACAGTTCAAAAGATTGGAATTAAAGGAATCGTAACTGATGAAGAGTTCGATTAAAAATTAATAAATGCCGAAAAAAAAAGGAACTCGCTCAATCAATAATATAGGAACGGAATCATTTAACTATTCTCATACACACACATATCTCAGACACACCCTAAAACTCATTTTTGACAAATAATGATGACGTAACGATGAACGATGACTGAAGAGTCTTAGTGAGAGCGCCCACCAAAGTGACGTGCATCTGTCGTGGCACGTGATCTGGCAAGTAACATGCATCTAGCAAGTTACGTCGAATTGAACAAACGATAAGTGTCAGCGCACACTGAAGTAGCGCTGTTAGAAACGTGTCATTCGTCGTTGTAGTATGTCAAAAAAAAAGATGCATGTTACTTGCCAGATCACGTGCCACGTCAGATGCTACGTCACTTTGGTGGACGCTCTCACTTAGATAAATAACAGTCAGAAATAAAGATAGATACATACTTTTCAAACAATCATTGTGTTGTGGATCTATCGTACCTTGAGTCATAAAACCATAGAGAGACTTTTCAAAATGACTATTAAAATCGCCACAAAATATAACTGCAACATTTTTATGTTCCTATAAAATCGCTATTAAATAATGACCACTTTAAAATCTGAAAACAATTTTACCCTAAGTAGTCTCTGTTTTATTTTATTTAAAAATGTCGTTGCCATAAAAGCCTGTATCAGTCTTATGTGATCAGCATTTGGGTGATAGTATAAATGCGTGTTTCCAATAATAGTTACATTCTTTGTCGACTGGTCCATTAAAACTGTGACTTGAAGAGAAGTATTCTGTGCTTTAAACTCCTTTTTTACCTCACTATTATTGTCCAGCATTTGACATATATGAGAAAATTCTTTCCTGCGTTCAAGCTCTCTAGTAAATACAATATGTTTGAATTCTAAAAGTCTGCATGATATTAATTATAATAATAAAAAACTATTATTTTAAAAATCAAACCTATATCTATCTCTTTTAAATGCAGTTAAAAGTCCTTCGGGAATGCAGTTACCTTTCCTATTATAAAAACTCTTATAACCCATTTCGTTAAACTCGTTCTTATAATAGCTTGAATAATATTGATTATCGACCTCTTGGAGAACAATAATATCGGCTTTATATCCTTAAAAATTATATAAAAAAAACTGAATGAATGATTAACGTAGGTAATAAAATCTCGAGACACCCCATTGCTCACTTGATCGCGTAATTCAACTTCACGAAACTTTAACTTAAATGCTTTTTATTGTAAATTTTTAGAGCCGACTAGTTGTTTAAAGATTCGTTATATTAAAATTGTTAATTATATGTCCATACCTAGAAAATTAGTTTTGTATATTGTGAGCCGTTTTTTGAGTTTATATTTATTTCAAATACTTTAATCACAACGATTAGTACAAGAAATAAACTAATAACGATATCTCTAATTGTTATTTATTATTTAACAAATGGATTGTATACCGGGTGCGTCTCAAAAATGTCTAACCCTATACCTCGTGGGCGTACAGCGAAAATCCACTAAGTCACATCTTGGTCGAATTTCGGCATCCTTATATTATAAGGATGCCGAAATTGGACTTAATGGATTTTTCATGTTAAAGACCGTGAAAAACTGGACCATAGTGGTGTGTTTAATCCAATTCAACCAAAAATGTGACTTAGTGGATTTTCGCTGTACGCCCACGACCTGGGGCTATAACTTTCTTTTTTTTTCACATAGAAAATCCAGATTTGGTATGTTAGTATATGACATAAATTAGAATTTATTGACGTATTCAATTGTTTTTGGTCACTTCCTGTTTCACAGGAAACGACTACAACATTTGATTTTTAAATGACACCCTCCGTATTTTGTTACTTTATTCGATCGAAAATGACATTCTGAATAGATTGACATCATATGTCAACTTTTGACATTTTCGAATATGGTTTATTTGAAATTGCGACATGTGGTTCATAATGACATTTTGACTCGAAATACCAAGTGTGTGGTACCAAATTATTCGTAAAAAAATGCTTATTCCAAATATGCCGATGGGCCCTCGTTCCATTTAAAAAATTGAGAAATTAGTAAAAATGCGATTTGGGCAACTTTTAACTGGCCATGACAAGACACTAAAGACATTAGAGGATCAAATGTATTTTCCCAAGGCTCCTAATTAAAAATTGCAGTTTTTAACACATTCATGGCAGTCTAGATTGAAATTAAAAATACAATTTTGTTTTAAGCGAAAATGTCAAAAGTTGACACATCATTATTCATTCTATTCAGTGTCATTTTCTATTGAATAAAGTATAATAATATGCCGGGGGTGCCATTTAAAAATCAAAAGTTGTAGTCATTTTCGGTGAAAAAACAAGTGGGCGAAAAGAATTGAATACGTCAGTCAATCCTAATTTATGTTATACAGGGTGCTACAAATTCGAGGTACGAGCATTGGTATCTCGGTAACCGTAATAGATACAAACATGGTTAAAGTGGGGCAAAGTTGGGCTTTGGGATGTTCACCACGACGCCATCAAAATAGTTTCAAAAATTTCAAGGATTGCTGAGTTTTTAGGAAAAAAACGGATTTTTTTGAAAACCAATTTTATTTTTTCCTGTCGCTACTTTTTAGAAAATCAAAAAACTAATTGCACATTCTCATAGCCACTTTATTAGGGCTATCTGATCAAATTAGCTGATAATTTGTGAGATACAGAGACTTATTTCAGGTTTTGAAAAAACTCGATCTCCTGAGTGCGAAGCTTATCTTATGAATTAAAAACTTATCAATATTGTACCGATGAATAGATTAAACCAGTGGCGGCTCGTCAGGGTAAGCAAGGTAGGCGGCGCCTACCCTAAAATCTTGGCAGAATTTAAGCGGTTATTACATTACATTATTTACTATTAATGTTGCCAATACATAAAAATACTGTTAATTCAGGGAAGTGTGTTGTAATAATCAATATTATTTTAATATTTGTGGTCTTGTATATTAAAATATTCACTACGGCTTGTGTACGCTGACTATGCCGCTGCGTTAGAAAACAAAATAATTTTGACCGTTGGAGTAATGCAAACGCCTTTGTTCGGCGATTTATACATCGCGTACTATCAGAGTCGATGCTCGACGTACGGCAGTCTTCTGTCTCTGTCTGACTCAACGTGCTGTAGCGACGCGACGTAAGCCGGAGTTGTATCGTATTAAGGGGTTAGGCGAAATCTCCGGTCGCCATCGCATGAAGTCTTGGAGGCTCGGTAGGTTTAGAAGTTAGGATAGTCCCGATATTTCTTAAGGGGATATATCACAATTTGTTAAGGGGATATTTCATATGATTCATTATACGTAGAATTTAAAACTTTTATATGAAAATTCAAAAAGCGTTTAAAACAAATTGGAAACGTCATTCAAAATGATATAACCGGTTGTATTTCAGAATACGCCACAGAAATAAAAGAATCCGAAATAAAAGAGAGCGTTATTTTATTCAGTGTAAGAAGACGATACAACAGGTATTACAGAAAAGTCTAAATGAATGTTTTTAACCCAGAGACAACATATTTACGAACTGGGTTAGGGTATTATGTAAATTTAGGAGAGGGGGGGGGGGGCAAATAGATGCAACTAAAATTTTGTCGCCTACCCAGTCACACGGGTCACGAGCCACCACTGGATTAAACGTTTAAAAAAACAGAGCCGGACTTGTGAATTTAATTTAAATACATTGTGTTAAAATATCCGAAACAAAAAAAATATTAAGCGTGGCATATAATTGTACTCAGGATATAAACAATTTACATTTAAAAATATAAAAAAATATATTATTTTTTTTATATAAATATAACATTTAGTAGATAATTTTAAGTTTTGAATTTCTTTTAGCGAAATATGAATAATTGTTAGAAACCAAGAATTTCATGAAAATTTTCATAAAAATATCTCTTGGCCATTTTTGAAATCGGTTTTTGATAAAAGTTCTGAAAATTTTTGTAGTAAAAAATGGTCTTAAAATTTTGAAAAACTTATAAGGTTCCCACTGAATATTTTATTTACATTAAAATATGCCAATTTGCATGTCATTAACAAGTTAGGCAATGGGGGTTAACAAGTTGATCTTGTAAATAAGTGAAATACCTTTCAATTCCTTAATAGTTAAATGTTTTCGATAATGAATGTTTAAAACATGTGGAGGGCAGTATTCAAACTGATTGTTGCCCACATATCTGTCTGCGAGAATATTATATGAAACAACTCTAAAACTAAATAAAATATTAAGTATATAAAAAAAACAACAACCTCAATCAGTAGTAAGTGTATGTTGATAAAAATATCATACAATAGAAAAAAACGGCGTCAAACTTGGCACAGAAATGAGGATTGATGATATTTGGCATATATATTTTTACATATTTCATCTCTTCTCATTTTGTATGTATCTTGATGCCTTTTTTTTTCATTCGTATATTATTAAATGCACGAATCAAAGAGCATCCTTACCGCTTTCTACTGAGTTCCCTTGTTGTTAAACAATGTCTCTTTTCAAATGGACATGATGGAAAAGGTGGCAATGTATCGACTGGATTTTCTGAAATACTCTCTAATTCAAGTATATGCAACATATTTAAACTATACAATTTACAATAGAATTTTAAATAATGATTTAGATCATTCTCTTTTACATCGTATTGTATTGTATCCCCTACTTTTATCCATTGTTTTTTGTCTATTGACTTATACCAAAAAAACTTTGACTCTTTCATATTGGTAAAGAGAGGATGAAACTTGACAGGTTCTACACCAAAGTTCACAAAAATAGCTGATGGTAATTGTATGTTATGTACCAAAGGTGCATTTACCATTATTTTATATTTCTCTTCAAAAAGTTGCACATACACTTCATGATTATGTTTTGTTATGTTTTCTATCAATTGATTTAGGATCATACCAGGCTTATACTTTTTTGCATCTACAGCATGTCTAATAAAACTGACTGGTATTTCACTCAATCTTAATGCTAATTCATCATCAGTTTTCGTAATGCAATTTTCTGTTCCATTGTTCTTATTTTCTTTAACATTCTTACCCATATGATCAAGGATTTTCTTTTGTATCTTTTTTATAAATATCGACAAAGGATCTGTTATATCAGAAAACACTGTAATTTGGGTGTCGCTAATTTCGTTATCCACTTTCAATGGAATAGTAACACGAAAATCACATTTTCCTGTATAATAAGCTCTTATCTGAGCAGAGGCATTTAAATTTAATTTACTCATTTCCGTAAAATTATATATACATTCCTATATCACTTAATAAACCAAATACTTTACTATCTTTGGAATAGAGAATCGGAAGTAATAAAACAGCAGTAGAAATTCAATCGGGTACACTGTAAACAAAAATTATTTGACTTGGTGTCATAGAACACACCTACTTTTGAAGTTACTCTGTACTTTGGACTTAATGATAGACACTAAAGTACCTACAAGTATCCTCAGATAGCTGAGCAAATTGTTTGGTCAGCTGGGTTTATCATAGCATTCTAGTTATAGGCAGCCACTAGTACTAGTGTTAGCTGGTGTTAGGATTTTATGTTCCAAAGAGGTCTAATTTATGCGTTGTTGCTAACTAGAATTACTAAAATATCTGGTTCAAACCTCTTAACCTCTAGATATATTTGCAACAAAGAAGAAAATTTTGCTTCTAGTCTAATTCTAACTGGTTCTTCATTTATGCTTCTAGCACATATTACCAATGCTCTTGGTCTGTGCTCTTAGTTAGGAATTGTATTTATCGGATTTTTTTTAACAATAAATTTAGGGCCACAAACCACAATAAATAAATAAACTTCTGTTGTGTCACTCTCACTGTCAATTTCTGACGTTAAAATATGTAATCCATCTGTGGTCTATGATCTCTTTCCATAATCTCTTTATCTATGGTCTATGATACATGATATATCTCAAGCTTTGATCTCAAGATTGTCTCAAGTCTCAAGAGATGTATTCCTATATTGATATAATTTTTGATATAATTGTTGATAGGAATACATATTACATAAAGTCGTTGGACTTGATTCCTATTCCCTTTGTATCTGTTTTCAGTCTTGTTTTTCAGCTGGTTATGATTGAATGGATTATGATCACTTTTTTATATATGATCATGATCAAAAATCAAAATAAAGGCGAAAAAACTTGGCGAAAAAAGAATGAACAAAAAATTAATAACCTAAAATCAAAAACAAAGCAATATCAGGCAATATTTTTTCCTATGATTTTTTCAAATAATATGTTTAAAAATGGGCTCAAAGTACTTTATGGTGAATCTGATCGTAAGTTCCGCATTAATTATCAAACATATTCATTTTAATCAAGGCTATATAGATTCAGAAATAAAAGGAGGCAGGTACATTAAGAAAAAATTCATTTTATAAAAAATATTAACATTTAATTCATAAAAAAAACATTATTTAACATAATGAAAAACAAAATCAAAATGTTACTTTTCATTTCTTCAACGTTAAACCTCTGGTTAAACATTAAAATAATAAACAATATCAAAAGTTCAACTTTAAAACCAAGAAAATGTACATAATCTCTGCGAGAAACTAAAACAAGACCCAGTGATTCTAAAGTTCTCTTAATTAGTTTAGAACAATACATATAGATTCTGCATTTTGTCCATTTTTGTCCATTTTTTTCGAATTTGACAAACAAAGAAAAACTGCCACGCTTTTTGCAAGAAACTTACTGAAAAACTAGTACCTATACTTGAAAAATGAATAAAAAATCATAAAAATAGTACACCTACATAAGGTACATGTGAAAAATCTAGTTTTAATGATATCTGAAAAAATTGAAAAATAAACTGTTGACTGTTTTAGACGTGAAATTTCTCTTTATTTTTCTGCCACCACAGTCCGTATCCCCAACTACATGGTCCCCAGTCATAGTTCGATTCATTATTTTAACAAGTACCTATTATTCAAAATATAGAGAAGTTGTAGTACAAATAAAAACTATTCATTTGGCAATGGCAAACACATAGATAAAAGACTTATGGGCAAACAGCATGCCAAACAGCAGTATGTCCACAGCACACCAGGACATTAATATTATAAAATATATTAATATTTTGGTTTAAAGTCAAGTGCATTTGAGCCTTTATATCCATATAACGTTGCTGTAGTATATCAAACATAAAAATATAACATTTATCTGCTACCCTGATAGTTATGGAAAAACAATAGTTGAGCGACTAATAGTTTGACATATTCGCTCAAAAACAAATTGTATTTTAAATCTCAATCTAGAGTGCCATGTCTGTGTTTAAAACACTAATTTTTAATCAAGGTTAAAAGATGCCCAAATCGTCCAATTTGATCATATCTCAATTTTTTTCAAATGGAACGATGGTGGCTCATTAGCATATTTCGAAAAATAATTTTTTTACGGATAATTTGATACCACACACTTGGTATTTCGAGTCAAATTGTCGTTATGAACCGCATGTTACAATTTCAAATAACCCATATGCGAAAATGTCAAAAGTTGACATGTGATATGTCATTCTATTCAGAGTGTCATTTTCTACCGAATAAAGTAAAAAAATACCGAGGGTGCCATTTAAAAATCATAAGTTGTAGTCATTTCCGGTAAAACCGGAAGTGACCGAAAATAATTGAATATGTCAATCAATCCTAATTTATGTCATATACTAACACACCAAATCTCGTTGTTTCATCTGAAAAAATAAAAAAGTTATAGGGGGTGAGCCACTTTTGAGACGCACCCTGTATAACTTATTATGTTTTCAAGTATAAAAATCTGTTTTTATTGTCATAAATGCAAATATAAGTATACATTTTCTAAAATATCAAAATGTCTCTCTCTGTCCTCATATAGCCGTTCCACTGTGCGTCGGGACAAAGAAATTAAGACTCTCAGAACTTCCAATTGACTTCGGAAATAAAAATATATTATTTGTATTTTTTAGATCTACTATATTATAATCAAACAGTCCCAGAATTTCCTGCAACAGATATAGACTCCAAATTTCCTTTCCAGTTTTTCAGAAAATATGTCTCCAGAAATTATCCATTATTAATCAAAGGTGGTGCCAAAGATTTTCCTGCTGTAAAAAAATGGAATTCCCAATATTTTAGGTTTGTAATAGGTATTACTATTTTAATTAAGTTAAAAAATTGTAGTAAGTAAAAAGATATATAAAATTCATCTCAAATTTTAGAAAACATTACAGCGAAAAACGTGTTACAGTCACTGTTACACCTAATGGTTACGCTGATGGTGTAGCAAGTTATGAAGGAAAGGAATATTTCTTTTTACCAGAAGAGACTGAAATGGAATTTAAGGACTTTTTAAACGTTTTACATGAGCAACCGTAAGTCTTCATTTGCATAACAAAGTTATATCTGAATTTGTCCGATTTTTAGATTAAATTATGTAGCTTACATTCAACAACAAAATTCAAACTTAACAACTCACTTTTCAGAACTCTTAGTGGATATAGAAAAAGAAATTGACTGGGCCTCAGAAGCATTTGACAAAGAACCTGACGCTGTTAATTTTTGGATGGGAGATGGCAGAGCAATTACTAGTAGTATGTATACTAATATTTATTTTTGGTAAAATAAGCTGATCCGAAATCAGACAACCGTTTTTAAAGTTAGTGATTGATATTATAAAATCCTATATATTTTCCGTCTACTCCATAATTCTTGCAGACTATTGAACATAGAATGACCTAGATGAGCAATCATAATTTTATTCTATATTAGCGTGTACAAGCGACTTCGTTCGCGTCGAATTAATCATTTGTAATGATGATGATAAAGCAAAGCAAGAATTTCCATTAACATACAAACTGGATAAAATTTTCTCACATTTATGTCAGCATGAGAGAAAACAATATGGCGATATTATTATACAGGGTGGTCCGAATTGTATTCCGGAAACTTCGGCAGCATATTCTGCAGATAAAAATAAGTAAAAAAGTTCCTATAAATGTATGTCCTAAAATGCTTAGTTTCGGAGATACAGGGTGTAGAAGTTTAATTTTTATTTCGAATTTTTCCAAGTAATTTATGAAGTAACGTCAATATTTGGATGAAAATTGATGTCTATGAGTTTTTTGACATAAGAAATTTGATTTTGATGTCAATATAACTCCTATTTGTAGAGGGCGCCACCTACATGTGTTTAAACTGTTTTGAAGAGTAATAACTTTTCGTCCGTACCTGTATATAACTACTGAGTCAAAAAATATACATTTTCGTGACTTCTTACGTAAAAAATGTCTCTTGGTAAAAATCGCTATGAGCAACCGTTCTCAAGATATTTAGAATGGAAATAGTCGATACATGTCATTATATTGACAAAAAATAAAATGGTTGTGTAGATAGTTATTTGACTGAAATAATAAATTTGGGAAATTTTAATTTTTTTAAATTAATCATAGATTTTTCTGCGGAAAATGATGATAAAACAGTTTCTATAGAACTTTTGCGTTACAAAAACATTTCATATTTATGATTTCAGTCTAATAACTATTTAGTTAACATGTTTAATTTGTCAATGGTGACAGGTATTGATAATTTTGATTCAAAATATCTCGAGAACCATTACTCGTAGCGATTTTTACCAAGAAACCTTTTTTGCGTAAAAAACGTCGTAAATGTATATTTTTTTACTCAATAGTTTTATACAGGTACGGACGAAAAATTATTACTCTTCAAAACGGTTAAAAACACATGTAGGTGGCGCCCCCTACAAATAGGAGTCATATTGACATCAAAATCCAAATTTCTTATGTCAAAAAACTCCCAGACACCAATTTTCAGCCCAATATTGACGTTAGTTTAGAAATTATTTGGTAAAAATCGAAATAAAAATGAAATTTCTACACCCTGTATCTCCGAAACTAAGCATTTTAGGACATACATTTTTACGAACTTTTTTACTTATTTTTGTCTGCAGAATATGCTGCTGAAGTTTCCGGAATACAGTTCGGACCACCCTGTATAACTTGGTAATATTTGAGGGGTAGTTTCATCTCGTTGGAATTTGACTTTCGAAAAATCCGTTTGCCAAAAATAAGCTTTTTACGTCAAGCAGTTTAAGCAGAATCGTGGTTAAGAAATTACCCAACTTTTTGGAACACCTGTATGATTTTTTAAAAATTTTCAAAATATGTAAAAAAAACAAATAAATTATGCTTGTCCAAGCGTTTTCCCGAAAGACAAACCGTTTTTTAAATAACAAATATTGTAATATTTGAGGGGCGTTTTCACCCTCTTGGAATTTGAGATTCGAGAAACCCCTCCTTATCGAACCTCTACACCCCACAGTCAATCCGTTTGCCAAAAATCAGCTTTAAACGTCAAGCAGTTTAAGCAGAATTGTGATTACTCAATGGTCATATTTTATGAAACACCCTGTATAAATTTATAAAAAATCTTAAAATATGCAAAACAACAAAATAAAATATACGTGTTTAAGAGTTTTTCCGAAAAACTCACCGGTTTTTAAATAAAAAATATTTTAATATTTGAGGGATAGTTTCACCCCCTTAGAATTCGAGTTTCGAAAAATCCCTTCTTATTGAACCTCTACACCCTAAAGTCAATCTGTTTTCCAAAAATCAGCTTTTTACGTCAAGCGCTTTAAGCAGGATCGTGATTAATCAATGGCCAGATTTTTCGAAACACCCTGTATACATTTTTAAAAAATCTTAAAATATGTAAAAAAACAAAATAAAATATACGTGTTTAAGCGTTTTTTCGGAAACTTGACCGTTTTTTTAAATAAAAAATATTGTAATATTTGAGGGGTGGTTTCACCCTCTTGGAACTGGAATTTCGAAAAATCCCTTCTTATCGACCCTCTACACCCTAGAATCAACCTGTATGCCAAAATTGAGCTTCTTCCGTTGAGTGGTTTGAGCAGGATCGTGATTAATCAGTATGTCAGTCACTTAAGGATTCTATATATTAGTATAGATAGACCTAATTTCCTATCTTCCATACAGAGCTGCAACAAGTGAGTTTTAAAAAGACTTAAGTCTTAAGTCATTTCTAAAATCAAACCGATTTAAGTCTTAGGTCAAATTCAACATAAAGTTCAAATGATTTAAGTCTTAAATCTTTGATTTAAATCATTTTATTTCAAGTCAAGTCATTTTTGTAAAGACTTAAATCAATATAACGTTATTTAAGTCGTTTCTGTGACTTAAGTCTATATTTTTACTTAAATCATGATTATCTGCAAGTTAAGTCAGTAAAATTACTTAAATCAATATAATTACCCTCAAGTCAAACCAAACAGAATTCAATTTAAGTACTTTTTTTAAATGTTAATATTAATTTTCTTGTATTACCAATTAGCGATTTTCTTATTATCATATTATTAATTTATTGTAGGTACAGATGAACTAACTAAAACCACATAAAATAAAACGGTTAATTTTCAGAACAACTGCAAACACAAAAATATGTTTTGTTTTATAAAATTTAACCAATTTTTTAGTACTTTATATGTATCCATTAAAGCTAAATGTCACCGAATATTATGTCTATTAAAAAGTGGTGATGTGTTTTGATCACTATGTAATATATCGATGGCATAAGTTAAGAGCTGGAGGATTTTAAGGTACTCTTCAATATATTAAAGATAAATTTCTTTCGTTCGTCTTTCGAGCCACATAACGGAGTCGGGGATTCACTTGAAGAAGAACTTGAACATATTTATACCAAACAGACTCACTACGCACGCGTAACACGACAAATAATTAAAGCCGGCTCCGAAAAAGTAATATTTTACTTGCTAGTGGTATCGAGCATTGTTTTTTATTCTGCTGCTTCGCTTCTTAAGACTTTTCTAAAAGTCTAAAATCTTTTTCTACTTCGGAATAAAGATTTAAATTACAAATCATTTTGAAAAAGACTTAAATTTTAAGTCTTAAGTCAGCTTTCGAAAAATGACTTAAAATCAAATGACTTAAGTCATTAAAATGATTTAAATCAATTTAAATCTTACCTAAGTTTTCTATGAGCTGGCAGCTCTGCTTCTATATCCTAGAGATCCACCAGTGTGTGTGTCTTATTTGAAAATTATGATTAAGAGATGTAATAATTTTAAATTATCAACCAGTTTGTTTCATAGAGGAAGAATACAATTATTGTATAAAAAATTAAGCATAAAATCACTGCATATAATCAGGCATCCTTTTAAAAATGTCTATTTTTATATATTTTTTTTTTAGTGCACAAGGACCCCTACGAGAATATTTATTGTGTCATTGATGGCTACAAAGATTTTATTCTCATCCCCCCTCTTGATTTGCCTTATGTGCCATATAAAGATTATTCAGTAAGGCAGTATCAAAATGTAACAACAGATTCTTTTGATATAGCGCCTGTAAATAATCAAGAGGATATATCTTGGATTGCTGTCGATCCTTTACAATATAATTTGATAAGAGAATATCCGGACTTTTTTAAGAAAACTAGAAAATTTCAGGTCCGAGTCGAAAAAGGAGATATTTTATATTTGCCTAGTCTATGGTTTCATCATGTTAGACAAAGTCATGAATGTATAGCAGTAAATTATTGGTATGATATTGAATATTCTGATCCTAAATACTGTTATTATCAGATGTTGAACGAATTATGTCGAAAGTCAGATAGAGTTTAAATGTTTTACTATATTTTATAATATATTGTAATGTAAGAATGAAATAAAGTATACATTTGATTTAATTTTTCTTTGTATTTTTTTTTAATTTGTAAAATGACTACACTATAATATAATTTGATAATATTTGGACAACGTTCTGTTCACGATGATATCCGATCATCAGTAATGGAAAAATCGTCTATACTACATAAATGTATATTTATATGATAATAGACTTTGACATGACCAACTTTATTATACATAATTTATCCGATTACGATAGACACGTTTTTGAGGTCAAAAGTTAATGAGATTCTACCGTGACCAAATTCGGTGGAAAGACTATACTCATAATGGCAATGATGGCTTCCACGAAAGTTTTACTGGACGTTTCATTTACAAGTTCAACAGGGCGCGAGAGAAAATGTCCTATTAAAGAGAAAAATGGGGTTTTGCCGGTATAATAAAGGACGAGATATAGGTTGACAATGATACAGATTATAAACTTATCGTCAAAAGCATTGTCTTTCGTGGATCCAATTTTCGGAGTCGCGCACTAGTTAGGTTACTAGTTTGCGCACATGGCACGCCCACTTATGGCCTCTAAAATTGAGCACAGCGCCTGACCGGCCCAGTTATTACGCTGTTTAAACGCGAGATTATTTTTACGCCCAGGAAATTTTACTCGTTTGCTCATCGTCATAAAAAACAATTTTCGTGCCACGAATTAGGGACAAGATTTTTATCTGTATACTTATAGTATACCCATAGTATACCTAATCTGTGACAATGATGACATTTCAATTCTACCTTTCTAGATGTGCGCAGGTATCAGGAATCAGGAATTTTCTTATTTACTGGTAGATTGGAGCAAAATTTGTCATGTGAATAGTACGATCCTATTGTGACTCAGTTCTAAAATAACTCCATTTCACAGCCGTTTTTAACAACTCATGCCTGTTTCTGCTCCTAGCTGGGCAGGTACACATAACGTGATTCATAGTTTCGTTACTCCCCATGAGACGGCATTCGGCATTTTCCACCAGTCCCATTTCCCATTCTCTCCAGATGGGATCTTAGCCTGAGTGGCCCATACAGCATATGCGCGCCATTTCTACCCGCCTTTAAGAGTTCTCCGGTTCTGTATTTGGATGGCCCCGCCAATATTCTTTTGCCATTTTCTTACGTGCCGTAGTAAGAGTTGAAACTAGTGATGGGAAAAACCGATTAATTTCGATAATCGAATACCCGAGTGTTAAGCGATCGCTCGAGCGAAATTTCGCTCGTATTTAAAAACACGGTTTTTTGCCCGTCGCTGTTGTACTCGCAACTCGTAACGCCAAGCCGTAAGTTGCGTGCGCAGAGCACATATTCTTTCGGTGACGAATGGCGAGTGGCAAGTAGCAAGCGACGAGTAATTCGCTTGATTTAGTTTAGTTTAAAGCATTGTCGATGGAGGTCGTAAAATGTTGTCACTCTGATACGCAACGGATAACGGGTATAAATTTGCTACCTGCAATGTATGTAGAAGAGTATGTCACATTAAAATCGGATTTCAATTTATTTCATTCTAGGAGTTCGTCGCTCGTAACTCGTCACTTGCATCGCTCGTTCATAATCGAGCGATCTCGGTTATTTGAATAATCGAGCATTCGGGCGAATTTTCGTTAGAATTATCTCATCACTAGTTGAAACTTTACAGCAGGCTATTTTTGGGGAGAGCCCGCTTCAGTTTCACCCACTCTATAGACGTGATCATCAAAAGATCCTTGCGATGTAGCACGAGTTACGTCCTTCGGACTTCCGTCAGCTTCGGTAATAAGGCATTTAACTTAATTATTTAATGCTTAACCATATGCTCCAAAACATCCTTTACAAAATTCTATGATTATTACATATGACTCTTTCATTTAAAATATATTTTTTACATTTTTTTCCCCGATAAGCTCAAATCATTCAAACGATTGTAATGAAAATTTGGGTTGTTCTGTGTATTGCAGAATAGGTTTCTATAAAAAAAATTGAAGATATTTGGACAAGGGTTTGCTTACGATGAAATACCATCAACAGTAACGAAAAAATCGACTATACTGGATAAAATTTGATAGGGTAATAGGCATGATCATTAGCTTCACTATACATAATTTATCCGATTATGATTCACACATTTTTGACGCCAAGAGTTCCGATTCTGCTTTGTTTCGTAGGTACAGGAGGTTAAAATCTTCATTTTTTTTCTCGATTTATTATAATTTTCTTCCAAGTGCTTTTAGCGATTCGAATAAAATTTGGAGGGTAAAAGTACTATGAGTGCTACATATTTTAATGCTAAAGAAAATGTGGACATATTCACTCACCAGGGACGTGCATATGGGGAATAAATGGAACATTTTTCTAAAAAAACATATGCGCCACTTACTTTTCTCTTATTAGCAAAATTATTTAGGCTTTTTAACTCTGATTAGAAGTAGTATCTTAATATTTTGCCCATTTCGATCTCATCGATGAGATAAACGCAATTTTATTAATGACAAAAATTAATAAACTATTTATTTAATGTAATTTATTACTAAAATGTTATTAAAATTTATAACACTGACCTACAGTGCTATCTACAGCAAATTCCCCAAAAAATAACAGTGTTTAAGATAATTACAAAATGCCTATTTTTTAGAAGTTTTAACATCCTGTAACTTTAAAAACTACTTCCGCACTTATGTTTTTAGGAACTTTTGTTTAAAAAAGAAATTTTGATAAGGAGTACTTATTTAACATTTTGGCAAATTAATGAAATTAATTTTTTTTGAATGTTGCTATTAGAATTGGATTAAGGCAAATTAATTAAATTGCATTTATCTCATCAAGACGACCGAAATCAACAAAATATTAAGAAACAACTTTAATCAGCATTTAACGGTTTACACAATTTTGCCAACAAAAGAAATAGTCGGTGGCGCACATATTTTTTTAGACAAATATTCCATAGATAGCTCATATGAACGTCCCTGGTGAATATGTAGAGTGTAGACACTTTTTTAGCATAAAAATAAGTCGCACTTATAGCCTTTACCCTCAAATTTTCATTCGAATCGCTAAAAGCACTTAGAAGAAAATTATAATAAGTCGAAAAAAGATGAAGACTTTAACTCCTTGTAAGAAAGCAGAATCGGACCTATGTTGATATAATTCTAATAAATAAGGAATCTCTCCACGAGATGGCACATGTTTTTTGACGCACCCTGTATAGGGCCCTCCACAAACGTTTAGAACCGCCCCCGTAGATAAGTGTAAAATTTGGTGTCTATATTATTAGAAATATCATGTCAATAGAGGAAATCTTATTATACCTATAAATAACGCAGTCAGGTGAATAATCTGTCAGTTGGCCCAAATGTTTGAAAGAAAATTTCATGTTTATATATACACTAGCATCTAAATTATGGCGGAAGATGAATTTTATGTCGCCTTATTTTCATCATACTATGAAAACTTTACGACGTCTTAGCAAGATCCAGTCAATGGGCCAACTATACTACTTTAAAAAACCGGTAGTATTTTTTCTAACATGTAGCCCCCCTATGATCACAAATTCATCTCCAAATTCTGGTCTTCAATATGACGTCGAAGAGAATATTTCTCACCTGATGACGTTGGCCAGACTAGCTCTGGAAAAGGGCGATTTCGAACGTGCAACTGCTATTTTGGAAATGGGATTGAAAGTATGTGAAGAATACGAATCTTATGTATCACTGCCTTACATATACGACATATTAGCGTCCATTTCATTCGCTTTAGGCAATATGAACAAAGCAGAACATATTTTAGTTAGCGCTATTGAAAAATTAGTTCAAATTGGAACTCCAGATGATGATACACAAATGGTAGACTTCCAGTTGCGTCTAGCAAGAATCTATAGCGCATACGACGAAACCGTTCTGGCTGAAATTGGGTTTAGGGATTGCCTCAATAAACAAAAAAACAAAATCTTGGATGGAGACACTTCAACAAAAACAGGCATGCTTTATGTAAACGTCCTTTTTTGGTATGGCTTACACAAAATCAGGAGTTCTGAACATCTTACTGCCAAAGATCTTATTACATCTGCCTATGATTATTCACTAAAAATCAAAGGTTTAAGTCCCTATCAGGAAATGGTTATTTTATATACATTGGCTGACTTACACATGCAATTGGGGGAAAGTAATATTGCCTTGCAGAATATGAAAAGTGCCATTTTATTAGGCAAAGGTATTGGTAGTACTGATATGCCTCGCTGTTACTTAAAATTGGCAAAAATTTACATAAATTTGGGTGCATGGATAAACGCTCGTGATTCCTGTAAAGAAGCAATTAAACTAGCTGGACTATTTCATGACAGTATGGTGAAAAGTGAAGCAGAATATCTATTAAATACTATCAATGATGAGCTTGCGTAGAAGTCCTTTGTTCTATGTAGATTATCTTAAGGACAAGAGCTAATAAAACCAAGTGTAGTCTTTTAATTTGATATTTAATTTTAAAAATAATTATCTAGTGCTGATTAACATTTTATTAAGTCTAATTATCATAAGTTATCACAAGTTTTCCTCTTGCATGGCCAGACTTAAGAGTTTCTATAGCACAAGGCAAATCATCAAAACCAAACTGTTTTTGAATAACTGGATTTATCTAAAAAATTATATTGTAATTTGATATCTTTAATGTCTAAAAACTTATTTATTTACTTTGCCTTCACACACTAGTCTATGTAAAAACTGAAATCCAAAGTTTGATGGAACAAAATAACCCCATCTTACAGTTTTTCCATTACATATATTGGTAATATTTGCTTCAAACAAGTCTTTTGCACTCTTCAAAAGACCAAAAGTTAACCCATAGTTATCATTATTTACTAAAAGTGGTGAATTTAATGTAATATAGGATTCAAAATTCCATGATTTTGGAATGTTATGAATTCCCATATTAGCTGCATCTAAGATGACATGATATCTAAAAGTAAAATATATAAGAAAAAATATGTGGCCCATAACAACAACCATACTTTCCTTCTAATTCTACATTTTTAATAAAATTTGGATCACTTCTATCAAATACAAAATCTGGTTTCAATAAAGAGACGAAGTCTACAGCATCTTTTGAGCAAGTGGTGTATACTATGCATCCTTGAGACTTTAGTAGCTGAATTGCGGCAGTTCCTACTCCACCAGAACCGCCCAATACTAATACCCTTAAACCTTCCTTCTGTCTCATTAGAAGATTTCCAGCTATAAATAGTCCACTCCATGCAGTCATTGAGGCATAAACCAGTGATGCACTTTGTTCATGTGTCAAGTGCTTTGGCTTTGGTAATATCTATAAATGATTCTACCCATTTAAGTAATGCTGTACACTACTAAAGAGCTATATTACATGACAACCTGATGCCAGCACAAACTCAGCAAAACTTCCTTGTTTGTGAATAGGTACAAAACCGTAAACTTCATCTCCAACATTGAACTTATTGCTAACTCCATGGCCCTTAGATATTATTGTACCTGTTTTTTTATATTACTCACAAAGGACATCTAGTATATATGTTAAAACTTACCTGAAAAATCTCTTCCAAGGGTCAAAGGAAACTCTAATTCTGCCTTTCTTAATACTTGAAAAGATGTTTTCCCGTAACCGCCTAGAGTATTTTATTTTTAATTATCACAACATGAACAATTTATCAGTACCTATTACGAACCCAGCATAAATAAATCTATTGGATTTAACGAGGCTGCTTTAACTTGTACTAAAACTTCTTCAGGATTGTATATAATAGGAAGTCTTTTAGATTCCAGTTGAAGTTCGTTTATATCACCGTACGAATGTATTAACCAGGATAACATTTTTTGGCTTTCCTTTAACTTTAGAGATTTTTGGGAAAAGCATCTTTGAGAAATTAATACGGTTCTATTTAACATAATTTTTAACCAGTTTTTTTAGATTTAGTTAGGTTATATCCGGTGTTTACATTTATTTTAGGAATGTGTTCATAAGTCATAGATAATATGAACTGATTCAAAAGAACTATTTGTTAGGGATGGCAACAATATATCGATATATTAATGAAAATATATCGATGTACTTCTCTTGGCGGTTATAATACCGGTATAACAATATTCTCAAAAAGAATCACGCTGTAGGCGTGTTTTGATTGCCTTGGTTATTCTCTGGGGTAAGTTTTTTGTAGATTACATGCGAAATACCCGACCGATAATGTTAATTTATTATAATTTGGCAATAAATTATATATAACTTGCATATTTGTACATTTGTTATAGCATTTTCTTTAAGATATATCTTTATATATCGATTGAAGTTTGGAATTCTTACGCGTTGGTTAAAAAATGTCAAATTATTTATTGCGGTTTTTTAAATCAACATGCATTCAAAGAAATACCTCTCTGTTAATGAAATAAAACATGAAGGAATTAAATGAAACAAAATAAAGGTCCACTATATTATATTTCAAAAGTGCAAATAATATTTTTTAAATATTATATGGTGAGATAAATATAAATAGTGTAAGGATGAGGTAATACAAATACCGCTAATATAACAATAAAAGAGTCGTCACATTATAACGATAAATAAATAAAAATTTTAAGTGCAAAGTAAAGTTTTTACATTATAAAAACTAAATTTACACTATCAATAATTTAAGATGGAATAATACTTAAAGCATAGAAAATATCACAAAGAAAGTGGAAGTGTATAAAGAATATTGTGCCCTGCTAAATAAAATATATTTAGGGTAGACATAACATACAAATTTGAGCATACATGTATTCTTTTAAGTCAATAGAACAACTACACAACATCAGTCATACAATAGGGAACATTTTTGGAAATAATAACTCTAAATTATTTTTTTCGGTTACTCCTCTTGTAATACTATTTTTTTCACATAAGATTACTGTTACTTATTCCCAGCTTTACCAGTAGAAAACATGCAAAAACTTAATATCGCCCCCTGTATATCTATTTGAAGGCCTATGAAGCAAAACAGCAACCTTAATAATTTAGATCTTAAAGCCCATTGCTTAAAATAGAAATATCACTTTGCTTACATTGTCTGGACTTTTCGATTTTTGTTTTTAGAGTTTACCTAGTGTTTAACGGTAAAATTTAACTTCAGTTTCAACACAATCTTTCAGTAATTCATCAAATTCAGATAGATCCTCTCCTACAGTCGATATTACTTGGTCTAATTCTTTTACACAATCTGACTCCATGCCGTGAAGCAAGTCTTGGACTCCCTTGTATTCAGCGTCTTTATACAAAGTATACAGCATGTGAGGGGACTAAAAAATCAATAGATGTTTAACCTTATAAAAAGTTTGAAAAAATCTAACTTACATTTTTATCTGGGCAGATGGTATGTTTAGAAATTTTAACGTTTTTAGTAAAAATAAACGGTTTAAATACAGATCTTGATGGATCAGGAGTAGCGGTAAACCAGTGTACACTGGGTCTTGTTGAGCTTAAAGTCGACACCTATAATTTTTTCGATTATATATATAAATATTTTGTTCTAAACTAACTTATATAACCCATACTTGACTTCCAGCTGTAGGGAAGGCATCGTCACAGTCGCGACAAATTCCAGATTCCTTATCGCGAAGTACTTTAAACATATCCGTTTCTCGAAAACCGTTAGAACAGGCGTACTTCTCTAATAATGCTTTACCTTTCAAGTAGCGAATATCGCCAGGTTTTTTTTCACCAGAAAATATTTCGCAAAAATTAAATTCACCCTAAAATTCAATTAAAAATGTTAACATTCAAAAATGTGTAAAAATAGAATGCTACTATCACAATAAATAGATACTAGACTGCGCTAGATCACACTAGACTGCTGATATCACAACTAACTAGTTCAGTTCGGAAGCACATTTACGAGAGATTTAGATAATATCTTCCCTTTAATTTTACTTTTAGTGAAAATGCAAATAGTAATTTTAATGTAATTCTTGTTATATAAATATATCGTCGGCTTCCACACAGTGGATATACTCACACAGTCACATACTACACAGTCATAACCTACATTGCATCATGCGACGATATGTACCATACGATCGAAAAAAACGGTGTCAAAGACGGCTGAGGAATGACAATCGATAATTTTGGCGAGGTCAAGCTCTAGGCGTTATTTATTTGGCGCGTACTCTTCTTTATTCTCTAAGTTGATGGACTTTTCGTCGGTGGTGTGTCAGAACTAAAATCCATACCAAAGTTACATTTTTTCTTATGGAACACCCGGTATTTTATTTAATTTTTGGATTCTTGGGCGTTAAATAAGGCATTTATTATACGGGTTTAATATGTTTAAATGCTTTGGTTTTTGAGACACCAGCCATCTTGATTACAATTTTATTGAAAAATCGCTTTTTATTCAAAATCTAACCCAGATAGGTATAGGAAACCCTAATCTAGTTTGAAAGAGCATTTAAATCTGCTTCGACTTATTTAAAAAAACACATAGTGTCGTATTTGAAATAACGAAGTTTTTATCTAAAATAAATATTTAAAATAGACCAGCAATTTTTGATACCCTTGTATAAATTTAAGGAAGCAATCAGATTTTTTAATAAAGTTTATTTCTCTGGCTCGAAAGTTAGCACAAGAATTAATTCTGAAAAGTAATGTACAATGTTGACAAACTTTTTTATTATAGCATGCACATACAGGGTGAGTCTTAAATAAGTGCAAATATTTTCAGGGGTGGTATATTTCGACCCCAGGAACACGTCTATGATTTTTTTTTCCGCAAAAAAAGATGTTGAAAATCGTGCATTTTCTTTTAAACTTCCCTGTATATTTTTCGAAAACTTTTTAGAACTGCCTGTTCACCGCAAATTTTCCCACAGTATAATTTCTTAATCTCTGATATTACCATAGTTACGGCTTTACTCTATGGTTACGGCACTAAAAGGAATGCAATTACAGAAAAAATCCGGTGGCTCTCAAATTTTTTTCAAAAAAGTCATTTTTTTTTTAAATTTTCAAACTTAAATAACTCGGTTATTTTGGACTTATCTGAAAAATGGTAAAGAGAAAATATGTTTCTTTTATCGAGATCTACCAGCCCTGAAAATATTTGCACTTATTTAAAACTCACCCTGTATAAATATCTCAAAAATCAAAGCTTCTAAACATATTAAACCCTTATAATAAATGCTATATTTGATGTCCAAGAATCGAAAAATGAAATAAAATACCGGGTGTTACATAACAAAAAATATAACTTTGGTATGGATCTTAGTTCTCACACACCCTGTACATTTCAAAATAATTTGAAATTATGCACATTGCCTTCCCACATAAACCCATAAAATATTTTGTGTCTATATCTTTCCATTCTCGTATTATTAAACGAGGCGAATGAGGTGCGCCACCCTGTAGAAGGCTGAGTAGCCACTAACCATCCCTAACATAATAACAATTATGTATACTTGTATTATTTGTTTTTTACATGCTGTTCATTATTAAAACTTCACTTGAAAAATCACTTAGCTTATGTGACATTTTTGTATATTGACATTTATTGTTAAGTTTCTGAACCCTCCATACATCTATCAGATTTTTTTTATACAAAGTAATTTCCTAATATAATAGTATAGTTTCGTTTAATATTAAATACTTACAGCGCCATCCCAAAGATTTTTTGATTTAGCATACTCTTCTATTCCTTTAGATTTACGGTCTATCTTTGTTGTAATAGTTAGAATATTTGAGATATTTCTAAATCCACCTAAAACCAGCAATAGTTACACAAATTAATAGAATGTAACTGATTTCCAACAAATATTACTGGTTATTTTCTCAGCTACCCAATGCTTTCCACAAGTTTCTAAAACCCAAGCACAAGCAGGGTCGGCAATTAAAAATGAATTAAAATAGGCAAACGAATTATCAGTTTTAGAACAGGGGCCTCCTTGGCCATATTTTTCTAGAAGATCGGTAATAACGTCTAAGGCTTCTACTGCACTGCAGCTTCTCTCTAAACCTAGCCTGCAGAATGAGGAAAAATTATTATATATTCTTGATACCAATTAAACTTTTTGTTACGTAATCGAGGGCGCAATTTTTAAATTCATTATTGCCAACCATGGACATTTTTGGCGCCAGACTGACTAACTGGAATTTAAATATCCCGAGTCTAAAGTCAAACATTGTTCTTTTTAGAACCTCTTTTGCTCCGAAGTGTACAAGATAGCTTAATAGCCATAAAGTCATCGTAACTTTATTAGAATATTTTGGATGAGAAAGTGGTAGTAATGGCCCTTTATGTCCCTTAAGTGCTGTTAAGAAGGTGAGTTTTGTTGATGTTAATAATAACTGTTTATTTATTTATAATTAATTTATTGTGTTTGTTGTTTCCTAAAATATTTTGATTAAAAGAAAATATGTAAAAGTGGGCAAAGCTGTGCCAGTTAAGTTTAATCACGTGACTCAAAGTTATTTGGTGTGAACTATACATAAGGTATAATAATTTTTTATTGTAGTTTACCGAACTAAATCCATTCCAAGAAGTCTTTTAACATTAGGATTATTATCTCCATCCATATCATTGGTCCAGATTGCTTCATTTCCAATAACAACTCCACATTCATTTGCACCCATTTCAGCACCCCACATCCAATTTGGTTTACTCAGTATAACTGCTTTTGTTACATCAACAGGTTCAATTTCTATGTAAGTACACTGAAGTGGATAATTGTAGTAATAAATATACAGTAAAGTATTGTTTATTTTACCTTTGTAGGGCCTGATTTTTCAGTTGCTGGTATGTAAATAACTTCTTGAATTTCACCTTGCGGTCTATCAGAATTCTTCCCGAAAACCACTCCATGTTGTGTTAATGGTGGAAGTACCACAAATGTATCACAAGATCGCGGTTTGGCCATTCTGTAAGAATATATAAAAATGGTAAAGTGTATAACTCTTATTTTTTTCTATGCATGATTTTTAAAAAGTAGCTTGTATTAAAACATTCCATACTGTCACCACCTAATAATGTATAAAAAGAGGTATTATATTTAAAATAATACTACCTTGCCAGTATTCTGCTAACTTTAATTACAGATATACCAAAAAACAATTTTTTCAGAAGTTAATTTTGGTGTTTTTTCAGTGGTTTTTCACGTGTCAATGTCAAATAAACTAAAACTTCAAAATCAGCTGTTTGGCATCACATGTTATAAGAGTTTTCAATTTAATAGATAATGTTATCTAGGTATCTAGGCTAAGTTCTTTTTGAATCATATATTGTATATGATTCCACTGACAAAAATATATCATAGTTTACTATAATTTTAAATCATACTGCATGATCTGAACCATAAATACCTCAACTTTAAATAAATAAAATTATATACGTCCAAAGCTATTTTAAATGTAAAATTAAGAACATTTTGTAAATGTACCGCCCAAGGTACCGCCTTTGTTCTGAATATAATCTTTGTTGCCAAGTCACTACAGTTTCGAAATTTTGGGGTAGTATTAAATACCTACACACAGTATTTTTCAATGAAAGGACACGTTCTGATTTATTATTAGAATTTATTACTTCATTAACTTGATATTGAGCAATCACTTCAAGAATATAATAATATACATTTCGAGGTTCAAAACTGTGAAGATTTTAAATATTTTATCGATTTCTCTCTTTATTCTTTCACCATTTGGCAACGTTGCACCGTTTATCATTGAAGAATTAATCAGTGGTGTGCCACTATATCGTCATAAGTAACTTTAAATTGTGCTTTAAATTTTTCACTTTTTTAGTTCAGTTCTCCAGATAGGAACTGTCGATTGTGTGGGGGTTGTTAGAAAAAGGAATTGTTTTCACAAGGATGGGAATATTTCGCATAACTACAGCTAAATTAGCTGAAACTCAAGTATGTATTACATTTATTATCTAACATAGGTTTCTCTTAAAACAACCCTTACAAAAGGCATTATTCCGTTATACCGAATATTTATTTGTAGTCATACCTTTTAGGTCTTTACGAGTACGTTATACTGGCCCTTTAATTGAGATATAATATATATAATATCAATTAATTTTAGAAAAATATTGCTGGTTACGTAAGGAGACAGTTTGATTTTATAGGTTATCAGGGCAGGTAATGTTGTATCTTCTCCATGTACCTACGTACCTACCTGTAAAATTCCAAGTCTTTTTTTCAAGGCCCCGGTTTTTTTTATTATGTAAAGTATTGGATTCGGACATCAAGCATACTATGTTTATTTAAAATTACATTTTTTTATTCCGCGGGAGCTTAAATTATCGGTCAATCACAGGATGTTCTACGGTAAATAATAAAATTTAAAATCTGGCCTTGGCAGTTATTTTTTTAAAGCAACACCAGTTATTTTTTAAAGCTTTCTACAATTTAGAATTTTTGCTATTTCTTTTAATAATTTATAAGGTAAATCTCTTACTTATAATGAAATTGCAATATTTTAACAGTTATCTTTTATATAACCTTGCTAAGTAAAATGGTATGACCTACAGTAGATTTTTTTAAATAGTTTAGTAAAAGTCCAGTTTATCAGTTACATATTGACCATTCTTTGATGCAACATTGTTTAGATACGAGATTTGCGCTGCGGACAAACATATTGTTTTGATTTTAGGAGTAAAATATTTTGAAGATAATTCTTAATAGCAATGATATTTGATACAGGTTGTTTTAAGAGTATTGAAGAGAGTATTTTGTATTTCTGATTCTACTAATCTTATTGTAAATGTTTTATGATACTTGTAGCTTTGAGTTAATTATTATGTGTGTAATAACAAAGATATTCTTAGGATATGTTTACCATAGAAGTAGACATGATTTAAATATATGTTTTTCTTGTTAATTTTTGTTTAAAAGGAATATGTTATAGAGAGATTTTTATCTATCACACTTCAGTTGAAATCACATGATTAGTGGCTTTTATAGTGTCAATTATGCCTTATATCAGCAGTTGTCAGCAGTATATAGCAAAATAGTTAAAATTCCAGTATTTTTATGTATATGTTTCTGGAGGATTTTTTTATAATTATAAGAGCTGAGTTAAGAGCTTATATACATTTTTTTGTTCACTGTTCTTCAACAGATATCACATGACATTTACAAATTATTTACAAAATGTAGTAATCTAAACTCATGATTAGATATGTATAGGTAATAGGTAGATAATGTACCTATTCTCTAGGTAGATAGTTATAGTTATAAGATATCAAACTTTAGCTTCCTTTCGGATCACTTTACATAATCCTAAGAGCATAAATATATTTCGATAGTTTCAGACATATTAATAAATAAATTTAAAATATATATTTTCAGCCCTTAAAAAATTATTAAAAATACAAGAACTGTCTTGAAATCAAAACTATACCGGGTGCGTCACAAAAGTGGCTCACCCCTATAACTTTTTTATTTTTTAAAATAAAAAAATGAGTTTTTATATGTTAGTATATTACATAAATTAGGATTGATTGACGTATTCAATTGTTTTCGGTCACTTCCTGTTTCACTGGAAATTTTTGATTTTTGATTTTTAAATGTCACCCTCGGTATTTTTTTACTTTATTCGATAGAAAATAACACTCTGAATCGAATGACATATCATATGTCAACTTTTGACATATTTGCTCAAAAAAATTGTATTTTAAATTTCAATCTAGAGTGCCGTGTTAAAAACACTAATTTTTAATCAAGGAGGCTTGGAAAAATAGATTTGATCGTCTAATGTTTTTAGTGTCTTCTCCTGGCCGGTTAAAAGATGCCTAAATCGTATTTTTAATCATATCTCATTTTTTTCAAATGGAACGAGGGTGGCTCATTAGCATATTTGGGAAAAGCATTTTTTTACGAGTAATTTGATACTACACTCTTGGTATTTCGAGTCAAATTATCGTTATGAACCGCAGGTTACAATTTCAAATAAACCATATGCGAAAATGTCAAAAGTTGACATATGATATGTCATTCTATTCAGAGTGTCATTTTCTATGGAACAAAATAAAAAAATACCAAGCGTGCCATTTAAAAATCAAAAGTTGTAGTCATTTCCGGTGAAACCGGAAGTGACCGAAAACAATTGAATATGTCAATCAATCCTAATTTATGTCATATACTAACATACCAAATCTCGTTATTTTATCTGAAAAAGTAAAAAGGTTATACGAGTGAGCCACTTTTGAGACGCACGGCACCCGGTATTAGTTATTTACTTTAGATGGTCTGTACTTACTTTGCTATAAATATGGTAATCGTAAATTATACAGGATGTTCAAAATTCTACGCCAAACTTTCTAAAATATAAAACAATTTTTCTTATTTTTTTTTTAAAGGAACACCCTGTATATTATTTTTCCAATGAATAGAGAATTAAAAAATTAATATTTTTTGTATGTATTTAGAGTATTTCAAAATTTTTATTTTGAAATACGCAATACGGTTTTGCAGATATTCCCGATTTTATATTTCATATGGCATTTTCCATTGTAAATTTTTATCAAAGCCACCCATTGATTTTTCTCTTGTATTTTAACGTTGAAAGAGCCGTATGAAACAATACTACGTGTATCTGAGAAACCATTAAAATTTTCAACAAACAAAACATGTTCTTTTTTTAACTCTCCATCAATAAATAAATAATATACATGGCGTAGAATTTTGAACATCCCGTATGATTTTAAGATTACGATATTTATAGCAAAGTAAGTATAGACCATCTAAAGTAAATACCTAATATAGTTTTGATTTCAGGACAGTTCTCGTATTTTTAATATTTTTATAAGGTTGAAAAATATATATTTTTTATTTATTTATTAATATCTCTGAAATTACTAATATATTTATTCATATCTTAGTATTATGTAAAGTGACCTGAAAGGAAGCCAAAAATGAAATAATATACAGGGTGTTTAATTAAAAAAAATCATCCAGATACACTCACACGCTTTTCAACCACCCTATAGAAGTTTTATAGAAATATTTTCCTGAAATACATCCTCGTACATACTTTAAGTTTGCACTTCACAAAATTCTCAAGTTTTTTATTCGAGCTACAGATGTCCGCTACATTCGGTTACGAGCTACAGATGTCCGACGCAATATTGCCGAACCCTGTATTATAACTGTAACTGAAAAATAATTGTAACTTGTAACTGAAAAAACTCGGAAAATTTGGAAAAGTATAAACGGGATTACCTAACCATTCTAGAACAAGCAAACATTTTATGAAGAATGTAATTTTCTCAAAATGTCAATAATAAAAAAGTTTTTCTTCTGTAAAGACAATCCGGGGAGATACTGAATAACCCTATAACTAAACCAAATCAATCTTGGGAATATTTTTAATAAATAAATGGATTTTTAGTAAATTTTCAGTTCTTTATTAATCATTTTCGATATCAACGGTAATCATTATTAGCAGATTAATAATATAATATTTAATGTAAATCTTATTTTGAATATCGCACGACCTTTTTTTTCAATACGATACTTTTAAAAATAAAGCCATCGATTTTGAAGTTGTATTTTGGCGCTCAATAAATATCTCGATCTCCTGTTGTAAGTTTTCTTATATAATGTTTTGGAATCCCTGGACCAAACCTAAAAATAAGATTAGTGCGTCAAGATTGACGATCGAGTGGGAACTGCGAACTGCGTGTGGAAAATTACTTTTTGTCGCATTTATTTTGATAATTTTTTTTTTCGCTGGCCGTCTCCAGACGCGTGACGATGGCTTATTTGTTCGGGGTTAATAGAATTAAAATTTATTGTCGGACTTTGGTCGTACGGATTCTCTCTACCGACCGCTTAAATTGATATTCTGCGTCATTGCACTTATCTTAAGATTTAGATGTCTACGAACTTGTAGTTTATAATTATTTATGTTATAATGTAAGAATTGGAACTTGAAAATCTCTCGACTAAAAATGCATTTTGTGTAGAAGGCCTCTATACTCTGTTTCTTAAAAGTCTATTACGCTGTACTGTTCGGGTCGTTCTCAGGGGTCGGGTAAGCGGGTGTGCGGCCGAAGAAAATATATATTATACAGGGTGAGTTTTCTACGATGTTCTCTATGGGTATCTCGGAAACTACTGGAGATAGACAGTCGGTTAAATGGGGAAAGAATTGTAGTTTTGTGGGGTCATAAATATGCGCCTTTCAGATTTTTGAAAAAGTTCGTGGCTTGTTAGATATTTCGAAAAAAACAAATATCGGCGGATATTAAATTTTAAAAATGGTCCCTAATTCCATTATAATCTATTTTAGACAAAAAAAATTCAGATAAAAGTTTTAGATAATCATATCCTTAATGAGATTGTGTCCTTCGTTTTTTTCTAAAGACTCTCATTTTTAACATATGACACAAACTTATGTTTTTTTTAAATGGAAACCATAGTTGGCCATGACTTCATAAAAAGCGCCATTTTTTAAGCTTTTTAGCGATATAAGCTATAATATGTATTTTTTTCGAAAAATTACTCTTTCTTGATTAATTTCACTTAGTTGGCATGATATTCTTATTCTGTTAATTATTTAATTATTATAATTTATAACTTATAAAAAGAATTTTTTATTAAACGGTTCTTTACAATTTACATTACACAAACTAAAACTTAAAAAAATAATATCTCTACATACACTTTAAGTTATTTTAGAAAATGTTCAAAAAATATACCGCATAAAATCTAAAATGGATAGGTCAGGTGATCGAGGATACCCATGCAATTCGTCCAACTCTTCCTATTCCTGAGTTTGAATAATTATGATATAAATAATTTTTAACATTTCTTTCATTATGGGGGGGATTGATGCGCGAGTCTCTAAATTTAAGTTTTCTAACATGTCTTGAAAACCGTTCTCTATAAAGCGTATGTAACGTGTA